GCCAATGGATGTTACATTGTATAAAATTCTCTTCTCCAGAGCCATCGGCGGCTGCGGCGCAGATGTGGTGATCCACAACAACACGGTTTACAATGCTGTGATGCAGAATTACAACGCCTCGTCCACCACCGGCTGGGGCCAGGCCATGTCGTACGCGCACTCGCCCCTCATGTTCAACATTTTCAGTCGATCCAAGTACCATTTGGAATCCCAGCACCAAGGTTCGTCCCGGAGTCATGTACAAAACCTTTTATTTTGTCGCTCACCAATGACAAAACACACCGCCCCCAGCAAGCGCCGTTCTACTGGCCCGCGCAGCCCACCGTGTCCTCGGGAAACGTTCTCAAGAACAACATCTTTTGGGTCAAGGTGCGTGGCGTGGCATGACCACCACCTCACGTTCATTCCACACTTATCTCACTCCAATCAACTCTGCAACCTTCTGCTGGGTAGGACTCCTACGGCTGTGCCCTCGGTACGTAAGGCTCCCCTTTTTTGGGTGCATGTAGAAGGGGGTTGCGAACTGGTCTATTTCTCATCTCGACACTGAATTGTTGGTCACAGAGGAACAGCGTAGCGCGTGGCAGATCTCCAACAATGTCTGGGTCGGAGTACCCAGGTATGCCAAGCATCTCCCTTCTTGCTTTCTTCTCCTTCTTCTTCCCTTGTTGATCTTCTTCTTCCACACTTGCAGCGTGCCGACCGCCTGTGCTGACACGACGGGGCTGTCGTCGAAGGCCGTCGCCAACTCCTCCGCAATCCGGTTCGTGGGCGGTGGCGCCGGCACCGCGCCTGCTAACTACGTCCTGGTACATTATTGTCCCCGCCTTCACACACAACGCCACCGATTCCACTGCACCTCATTCTTTTCTGTGTTACAGAAATCCACGTCGCCTGCTCGCGCGGCCGGCGCTGTGATCCCTGGCATCAGCATCGACTACTATGGTACCACCGCCTTTCTTCATCATCTTCACCGCCTGAGGGATATGACGTCCATACTCTCGCAGGCCTGCTGCGCAGCACTTCGGCACCGAGCGTGGGCTTTGCGGAGTACCGCGCGTCAACGCCAGCGGCACAGACATCCGATGCCTCGCAGGCTGCGAGGCCAGCTGCAGCCCTGGCGGTCCTCGCGAAGAGGCTCGGGTGGTGATCACTGACTCTTCATCAACCAACCACGAGCCTACATTTTAACCTGCGGCCGAAGTGCGCTATTTTGTTGAAATTTGAAGTGAATTCAAATGTGTTTCAGGATTTCAAACCTGTTTCGTTCTAGCAGAAGCTCCGGGGATTCGGAGATCGAAAAAACTAGTTTTAGCTGCCCAGCATTTTTCCCCGAGGCTCGAACTTCCAGGAAATACCGGGCTTTGGCCGAAGATAAAAGGCTGAGCCCACCAAACCATCATCAACTCAGAACCTCGAACAAGACGCAAGCAAAGCGCACCCACGACAGCAATCGCCAACACAAACACACATATGCAGATCTTCGTGAAGACCCTCACCGGCAAGACCATCACCCTCGAGGTCGAGAGCTCGGACACCATCGAGAACGTGAAGCAGAAGATCCAGGACAAGGAGGGCATCCCTCCCGACCAGCAGCGTCTCATCTTCGCTGGCAAGCAGCTCGAGGACGGCCGTACCCTGGCCGACTACAACATCCAGAAGGAGTCCACCCTGCACCTTGTCCTGCGACTGCGTGGTGGTGGCAAGAAGACCAAGTGCTGCTTCGGTGAGTGTTCGAAGCGGGCGGTGATGATCACGGGCGACTGTCGATTCTGTGAGCAGAAGTTCTGCGGGGCGCACCGGCTGCCCGAGGACCACGCCTGCCAAAGCATCGACTCGTGCCGGCAGGCGGCCTTCAACAAGAACAAGAACAAGCTCCTCAACGAGAAGTGCGTGGCCCACAAGATCTCCATGTAGAGAGAGCCAAACACCGTTTTGGCCTGTAAATACAAAACATAATTGCACATAACACTTGCCCAAGTTTTTGATGAATGTAGTTGACGTGTAACATGTGGCCAAAACAGATAAAATGGAAAAGAAATAGCACAAATTTGTTGAAAATTAAAATAAATTGAAAAAGAAGAGAAACAAAACGCACAACATGAAGCGGACAAGAGAGGAGCTGAGCTGTGATGCACTGACGCAGGTGCGGCGCCAACGGAGGGTGGAGGAAAATGAAGATGAAGATGAGGAGCTGGAGGAAGAGCCGGAAGAGGCGGAGGATGGCGTGCAGGTCAGCAGACTGAAGCCGCCCCTGCCCCGCTTCACCAGCGCACGCCAGTTCGTGCGAGTAGAGAAGAAGCCGGAGGGCGCTGCACCAACGGCCGCCACCGCTAAGAAGACGGCGCCCCCTGCCGAGTACACCTACACGCGCATCAGCGAGCTCCAGCCAGGGCAACAGGCCAACGTGTACGGAGTGGTGCGGGCTCTCAAAGAACCCAGACCCACGAGAGGGACAGGTGCCGCCCTTCTCACCTCCATCCATCCATCTTCTTCTTCCATTTTTTTTTACGTTTTTTGCTCCAATTGAGATCTTAATTTAATGAATGTGGATTTGGGTCTGGCCAGACTGGGTGGTGGCGCTGGTGGTGGTCGACGTGTCGGCCCCGACCAAGGAGGAGGGGCTCGGCATCAACCTCTTCGCCCCCGAGGAGCGGTTGCTCCCCGCGCCACAGCCAGGCGACATCATTCGCCTCCATCGCCTCCAGGCACTTGCATACCCTTCTCTACTCCATTCTCCCCCCGCTACACACAAAGCTGTCGCTACTCACCGTTCGGGGGGGGGCGCCGACACCAGATCCAGCGCTATGGCGAAGGGTTGCAGGGCGTGGGCAGTCACAACAAGTACTCCCTACGACAAGGCCTTGGCCCATCATGCACGTGAGTCTCACTCGTGTACTGTGTCGTGTCGTGTCGTGTCGTGTCGTGTCGTGTCGTGTCGTGTCGTGTCGTGTCGTGTCGTGTCGTGTCGTGTCGTGTCGTGTCGTGTCTGGTAGGCGTGGGTTCGCGTGGATCTTGGTCGATGGAGCTCCCGGCGCGCCGCTCGTTCCGCACAGCTCCAGCTCTGAGCGTGCCACTTTCACGTAATAACGGTCCCCGACCGCCACCACTCCCCCCCCCCCCGCCGCTAGGCACGCGATCTGATCGCCACGCGGGCGCGCATGCAGGTCCAAGGACGAAGAGCGGATCAAGAGCATACGCGTGTGGGCGTCGTCCACTGCTTTAATCCCGACCACCACCGCCACCGCCACTACCACTACGACCACCACCACCACCACGGCCACCACCGCTGCCATTCCTCCGGGGGCTTCATCAACGCGAGGTGCGCAACATCTCCTTTCCGTCGTCAGTCGGTGCTGGCCAGATTGTCAGCTGCATTGAACAACACCAGTTGGTGGGCACCCGGGTGCGCCCTCGGCAGCCGCTCTCGAGAGTCCCTACGTGCGGCGGATCGCCAGAGTGGAGGAGAACGCGTGGTTTGACCTCATTTGCCAGGTACCGACCAGCACAGCTCTTCTGTGCCTCGGGATGCGTGTCGTGTGAATTCGCACCTCCCCCATCCAACTCGAAACTCACATCATCGTCATCACCACCATCACCATCATCGTCAGATTACGGAGATCAGGGACGATTCTGTCCGCTCCCTGCTGGTGTGGGACGGCACCAAGGCCCCGCTCGACGTCAGGTTGTCACCTCCGAGTTTTTCATGTTTCGTTTTCGTTTTGTTGGAATTCTAATCTGTTCTCGTTGGGCGACTGGTTGAGGTGCAGTGGGCTCTCCGAGACGGGGCAGCCGCAGGCGCTGGAGGGGCTGAGTTCGCGGCTGCGCGTGGTGGCCGACATGCCGCCGCCCGTCATGCACCGGCTGCTCGCCGTGCCCCTCGGCACGTGGGTCCACCTGCGCAACGTGAAAGGCCACAAGCACGCCAACGGCTACATGTACTGCGCCGCACGCATGAAATCCAGCTTCGAGGTCCTCCCTCCCACCGACCCTCGCGTCGAAGCCCTTCTCCAGTACGACAGCTGCCGTGTGTCGCGTGTGTCGCGTGTGTCGTGTGTGTCGTGTGTGTCGTGTGTGTCGTGTGTGTCGCGTGTGTCGCGTGTGTCGCGTGTCTCATGGTGTGTCGTGGCTGTAGAGGCTTTGAAGAAAAGAAGCGGGCGTTCTTGAGCGATGATGAGGCGCGAAGCTTACGAAAGCCGAAAGATGAGGCGCACGCGGAATCCGTCGAGGAGCCCGCGCAGCTCGCAGCGATACAGAAACGCCCCGCGCCACCCGTCCTCCCACCCACGCCTCCCACCGGTACGAGCACCGGCAGCTCAGTTCAGCTCAAATTGGCGGCTCACCCCTGTGAGGTGCGCCCACAGTGATCGTGCGCTGCGCCGATCTACCGCTCTCCACTATCGACGAGATCCTCAGCTATCCAGAGGTGCGCCCTGCCTGTCCGCTCTCCGTCCACAAAAACTCAACTAATTGGTTTTTTCTTCGTTATTCGCTCTTCTTCGCTCTTCTTCGTTCTTTCGTTGGGCCAGTCGACGGCGCTGTTCCGGTGCCAGGCGCACGTGCGGGGCATGGTGCCGGAGCAGGTGGAGGCCATCACACGGCCCTCGAGCGTGAAGCCTGACGCGCCCCACGTGTACCTCTTCCAGCTGCAGCTCCAGGACCCCACCGGCACGCTCGACGCCTACGTCTACGACAGAGAGGGCGTACGTCCGCCCCAACCCTCTCTGGTCTGTCGCTCCTCCAATCAATCAAGCCTGATGCGCGTGTGCGGTGATGCGTGTGTCGTGTGTCGTGTCGTGTCGTGTGTGTTATCAGGCGCTCTTCCTGGGACTGGATGCGGTGGACCTGGAGGAGAACAGCTGCACGCGGGAGAGCATCCGCGCGAAGATGGAGGCCCTGCTGGCCCATCCGACGCCGGCCGATTTCGTCATCCGGGCGTACCACCTGGACAGCTCGCGTCCCTCGCTCCGCCGCTACCAGATTACCTCCACCATCATCAACGTCGCCTCCGCCCCTCCGCCGCCCTAACTTGGCTTACTTTCAAAATCAAACATGATCTTTTATATGTCATTTGTGGTATATGTGTGTGCGCGAGCTATGGTTGCGCCCTAAGCGCCCTCCTGGACGAGCAACAAGTACCGAATTCGCACCTATAGTGGGAGCGAAAAGATGAGGGTGTCACCAGCCAAAACGACATCAGTTGGTTGCCACCAGAGGGCATAACAACAAAGGAAAGGCGCGTTACCTGTCCCTCGTTGTAGACAATGAACTCATTGTGGCCCATGCCGCCTTTCGCTCTCTTGTCTTCCCCCATGGGAATGCGCAGCCCTCCGTCTCTGCACGCCCCCAACAGTGTGAACAACCAAAAGAAAAAGAATAATAGACTTCCAAAAGAGAATAAAATGTGGAGCACGTACGTGTAGAGCACGGCTTCGGGATGTGTGATGACACGGCCCACGCCCCAACAGTGATGTCGGCCCTGGCGCCATTGTGCAGCCGACGCCAATGTCAGGAGGAGTTAGTGTGTGTGTGTGGGACAGCAAAGTATGTACCGGTGGCAATGGCTGGCGGAAGCCGGTCGACGTGCGTACGAGGGGCTCGCCAAGAGCCACATCGCACAGGAAGAAGCAACCCTGCCGATAAGAACACCCCAAACAAACAAACAAACACCACAAACACCACAAACAAACAATAAAATAATGAATTGATAAGACAATCTTAGCAGAGGTCCTCTGCCAGGGCCGTGATGACCATACCTTGCCGTGGTCGCTGCTCATGTAGCCGACGCTCTTCTCCGGGAAGTCTGCAAAGTAGACTGTGGCAGCCAAATGGGGGCCTTGTGTGAGGGAATAACAAAAGAGAGTGGAGGGGAGAGTCGTACGGCCTTTGCCAAAGTTGGTGCCGGAGCCGTTGGCCTCCTTGGGCGCGATGCACATGCCCTTGCGCAGGATGCCCAATATGTTGTACACCCCCGTTCCATGGCACCTACACGACACGACACGACACGACACGACACGACACGACACGACACGACACGACACGACACACACAGCAACCAATCATTTCCTGTCCACAAGAATGGTGGGGGTGGGTGGGAGCGTGAGGTACAGGAGAGAGCGGTTGGGTAGTGCGGCAAAGGGTTGGAAGCGCTCCTTCTCGCCCTCGCGCTCCACCTCGAAGGCGTCCAACACTTTGACCGACGACGTGCTCATCAGCCGCACAATCACCTTCCACTCATCTGTGTTTTTCCATCGAAATAAATAATAAATATATTAATGGAGTTAATAGTCACAATAATAACAGTAGTAGAAAACAGAATAAGAACTACAATCGTACCAGAGGATTTGTCGACAGGCGTGAGCCGGGCGCGGAGGGCGGCGCACAGGAGCTGCATGCGTGCCATGGCCTGGGCTGAGTCGCTGGTCTTCTGGTCGAGCGGGTGGTCCTCGTTGATCTCGCCCGCCGCACGTTCGAGCCGCTCCTTCTCCTCGAGCGGCATCGTCGTCGTCGTCTGCTGCTGATGGAGGTGGAGGTGGCCCTCGTCGTCGAGGGGCAGGGAGAGGGCGTCCTGCGTGGGCAGCTCCTCCTCTTCGTCGCCCATCAGGCGTCGCTTATACGGCAGCGCCACCTCGTGCAGCACCTCCATGCCGATTCCGATCTCTTGCAGCGACTACCCACACGACACGACACGACACGACACACGACGCACGACGCACCACACACGACACACACCGACACCAATTAATTCAAAGAAAATAAAATGGAGAGAGAGAGGCCTAACTAACCTGGAGGAGGTTGAGCTTTTCGGCGAGGATCTTGCGTTTGTTGATGTTGAGCGAGAGGTTGTTGCCGGAGAAGTTGAACGGCAGCACCCGGTGGAACTGGTTGGACAGCTCGCCGATCGCCTGCGACACCTTTTCCGGCACCTCACGCTTCCTCGCCTCCATCTCCTTCTTGTACGTCAATATGCCTACACGTCATCGGTAACATACGAAATATTATTAATAAATAAAAGAAAGCATGCATAAAAGAATGAAACAAAAGAAAGAAGAGAGAAAGCAATGAACCAGAAAGGACGTTGAGGATGCGGTAGGCGTTCTTGATCTGTGTGGAGGTGAGCTGGCCCATGCCCGTGATCTCGAACAATCCCACCCTATGCGGTGGCGCACACGACACACGACACACGACACACGACACACACACGGCACACATGTGCAGCAGCAGCAGCAGCGGTTCATCTCCCGATTCTTCACAACTAGCGATGACGTCGACAGGGCGAGACGTCTGCGCACGAGTGTGCGTGTAGCGGCGGCGGCGGCGGCGGGTGCGGCGTACCGGTTGCAAAAGGACCAGAGGCGCTTCTTGTGGGAAATGAACGCCAGCATGTCGTACAACCGCTTGTCGGCCGACGGCTCCTTCTTCTCTGTTGATTGTTATTTGTTTGGTTTGTTTGGTTGTTGCGGTGTTAGTCTGACATCATTGTCATCATCATCACAACTATCATCACAACTATCATTGTGGGACGAAGGCGCGTCGCAGGCGTACGCTTGGCCCGGAGCGATTCCTCTTCGCCGTCGCTTTCCTCGTCTTCGCCGAGGTCGTCGTCTTCCTCCTGGCCCTCGTCTTCGGAACCCTCCTCCTCCTCGTCTCCGTAGAGCTTGCTGTACCGCCGGTGCCGCAGCACCGCCCGGTGGTCGGTCGGCAGGTAGCAGTACCCGCCCGACTTCTCTTCCTCCTCCTCCTTCTGCTTCTGCTCATTTTCCTTTTCTTCTTCCTTCTGTTCTTTGGCCTTTTCCTTGTCCACGTCATCAACCGCCATGGCGCTGCTCTCTTGCTGCTGCTGTCCAACGGCCGCAGCTTCCGGCGCTTTGTCGTCGTTGTCGTTGGAGTTGTTGTCGACTGTCGGCGCCTCGTCTTCCTTGTCGTGGTCGCGGTTGTGGCGGAAGTGGGCGCGGTCGTCCCAGGCGTGGCCGGTGAACTTGGCAAAGCGTCGCTTGAACTCGGCAATCGCGGCCTCGCGTGTGTCGAATTCCTCGATCCCTTCGATGCTGTCCCACACGAAGAATCCACACCTCCACTCGCCGTTCTCTTTCTCCTTTTCGCTTTCTTCCATCTCCGTTTCTTTCTCTTTCTCTTTTCTTTTTCCTTCGCTTCGCTCTTATTGTCGGTCGACTCAACGTCCATCACTGTCGTCTTCTCCGCTTCGTCGTCTCTGCCCTTCGTGTCGACATTAACCATCGTCACTTTCGATCGAACGAAGAGGGCCTGCAGCTTGGCCGATTGCTCGACGTCGTCGACCTTGGTCAGGAAGGCGTCGAGCAGATAGCCCTCCTCCGCGAGCAGCCCTACGCCCGTGTCGACACCCGTCTTGTCGGCGTTGTCATCCAGGTCGACAGAATCGTCGACATCGTCGTCGTCTTCGTCGGGCGCCTTGTAACTGGCGCCCGAGTTGCTCTCGTCCGGAATGGCCGACTTGGCGTCGGCGACCACGAGCGACCGCGTTCGGCGGATGAGCAGCGGCGCGAGTGCGTCGAAGGGCACCGCGTCGTCGAAGAGCACGAAGGGCGGCGGGAGCGGGATGCTCTCCACCTCAGGCACCGTGAGCGGCGGCATCGGCAGATCGCCGCCGTCGCTGTCTTCGCCCTGACCTTGCCCTGCTCCGCACATGTGAGCCGTCCCGCCGTATAACATCTCACATGCACACACACAGGCCGCACGCACACACGACACACGCGCACACACCGCACACCGCGCAGGTATGGAGCCGCGTACCCTCCAGGCGCGGCCGCTTGACGTCGATCCACTCCTCCTGCGGCTGCGACGACGTCTCCGCGAAGAAGTCCTCTTCAACCTCCTCGCCACCTGGTGCAGCCCAACGATCACACATGTCGGCGTGTGTATGTGTGCGGCGGTGTGTGCGATGTGTGCGTGTGCGGCGGTGCGTGTGCGATGTGTTGTGCGTTGCGGTTCCAAAGAAAGCGCCGTACGTTTTCGCTTGCGTTGGTTGCGTTGGCGTCGGAGCGACTTCCACTGGCGCAGGTAGAGCGCCATCTCGCCCTCGCTCAGCGTCGTGAACGACAGATTGCGCGTGATGCGAGGAATGCGCGCCTCGCTCTTGCGCAGCCACCCGGCCAGCTGCTCTTTGAGCCGCGTCAGCGACGCGTTCCGCTCCCACCGCGCGCGCCGGTGCTGCTCGTCGCCCTGGTCGCCCGAGCTGCCCGAGTCCGGCGCCACGTCGGCCTCGTCGAGCGCGCCCTCGTAGAGCTGGAGCGCGTCGAGCACGCGGCGCAGCAGCTCGGTCACCTGCTTCACGGCGGCGTTCATCCGCTGCCGCTTGTTCTGCTCGCGCTTGCGCAGACCATCGCCCGACGCCGGGCCACCGGCGGTAGTGGTGTCGCCATCATTCAGCTGATGGAGGATCTCGGGGAAGTTGTCCAATAGGGTCTTGGACGCCTCTTCCGCCTCTTGCTCCTCTTCGTTTTCATTGCCTTTTTCGTTCTTTTCCTCCTTGGCTTTGCTGTCGTCTTCGCTCTTTGCAGACTCGCTGGAATTCCCTGGGTCTGTAATGGAAACCTGGGGAAGAGAAGACGACGATGACGTCATCGCGGCTGGCAGAGGAGTAGGGGTGGTCGTGCTGGCGATGGCGGGCTCGTTGGCGGCGGAGGTCGACGTTGCGCCTTCCGTGGGCGAGGCGGCGGGGCGATGGTTCGGGAGGCCGGCGACAAGTTCGGGGAACAGGGCGCTGACGATGAACGAGAGCGAGCGCGGCCGCGCGACAAAGTCGTGGATGATGGCCGCGCAGAAGCCCGACGACGCCAGCAGCACGCACTCGCCGGCCTCATTGATCGCATGCGGATTCGCGCCTGACTGTTTTCCGTACGAATGAGTGCACGTGTGGCGGTGGTGCGTGTGCGTGTGCGTGTGCGTGTCGTGTTGCGTGTGCGTGTGCATGTGCGGTGGTACGTGTGCGTGTGGGGATGGGAAGAGGCACCAGCAAGAGGAAGAGGGTCATCTTCCACAGGTTTTGCCTGCCGGCGACGAACAGCGGCGTTTCGCCTTTGTCGTTGACGCCGTTGATGTCCAGCCCGAGCTCCAGCAGCTTCCGCACGCCGGCCTGGTTGTCGGTCATCACGGCGTAGAAGAGGGCCGTGTTGCCCGTGCCCTGCTCCCTGTCCTGCGGATTGGCTCCCAGGGCCAGCAGCAAACTCATCTGCGTGCGCACACGCGCAAAGTGGGTCAGCCGCACACGCCATCGCACACGTCGCACGCTCCACCGCACACACGCCGAACTGGAGACACACGGCACGCACCACTTCGGTGTTGCGGCAGGCGGCGTGTGCGTACGGTCGCACGGCGGTCAGGAGCGGCGTCTGGCCGCGCCCGTTGCGCACCTCCAGCGCCCGCTTCACCCGCGCCTCGAGACTGCCCTCCTCCGGTTGCGCGGCCAGCTTATTTTTTTCTTCTTCGCCGGCGGCAGCGGCGGACTCCGGTTTGGTTGCTGCTGCTGCTGCTTCGAATTCCACGTCCATGTCCGCCTCGCCGCCTTCGACCCCCTCCATCTTCTGCGCCTCCGCCGCCGCCGCCGCCGCCGCCATGGTGGAAGTTGACGTCTGTGGCTGGGCCAAGCGCTGGGCGCGCTCGGCGTCGATGGCGGCAAGAAAAGACTTGAGCAGTTCGGTACTCTGGTAGTCGCGCGCGACGACGTGGAAGAAGGTGTCGCCGTCGACGTTGCGCTCGGCGAGATCGGCGCCGTGGGCGATCAGGGCCAGGGTCAACGATGCAAACTCGGTCTGGCTCATCTTCGCAGAGTCCTCCGCGGAGTCGGCATCGGTCTGCTGCTCGCGCGCCAGGGCCGTGAGGAACGTGTCGCCGCGCTCATTGCGTGCGGTACAGCCGTAATCTGCCACCAACCCAACGCAACCCAACCCACCCAACCAAAGGTTCAGAGCTGTGTCGTGTGCGTGTGCGTGTGCGTGCGTGCATCGTGTGCGGACCTTTCACGGCGGCAAACAGAGCTTTCAGCACTTTTTGAGCGGGCTTGCTTCTGGAGTCACTGATTTTGAGTTTGGTGAGCGCGAACAGAGGACCTTTGCATTGCTGCGCACTCAAGTAGGACTGAAGCTTGTTTTCCGCCCGCAATTTCTGTTGCAACAATTGCGTGTGCATGTGCGTGTTATGCGTGTTATGCGTGTCGTGTGCGCCTGTGAGCGTTCGGAAGGAATGTACGTCACACCGAATGTCAACACAGAGTGAAAGGAGGTCAATTCGTACCTTGAGCAGGTGGTATACAAAGTCGAAATGCGAGCTCGTGATCAGCTCGTACATGTGTTCCGGAGCCACCTGGTGGCCATCCGCGATTGCCATGAGAACCTCACTGCATTACGTTATCTTGTTAGTGACCCGTTGCACGCGTGTGCGGTGGCGCTTGTGCGTGTGCGTGTGCATGTGCGTGTGCGTGTGCGTGTGCGCGTGCAACAGTACACAGGAATTCCTCGGGCCAAAATCCCAATCAGCGATTGTTTGTGCTCGCGCGGACTGCTGCCTTTCCCTGATATGGACAATAAAATTACACGTTATAAGAATAATTCAGATTATTATTCAGATTATTCAGATTATTATTCAGATTATTATTATTAAAAAGTCATTGATATAAGTTAGGCGTACGGGGTGGCTGGTAGAACGCGTTGATGTTGGCCCCGGCGGAGATCAGCTGTCGGCAAATGTCCCACTCACGCGCGTGGGCCGCCAGCGCGAGCGGCGAGTTGCCCCAGTTGTCGACCACCAAAGGGTCGGCGCCCATCTGCAGCAGGCGCCACACGCACCATGGCAGCCTGTGAAACGAAAGCTCGGGTTAAAACAAACGACACGACACGACACGACACATTGCGCGGGCGATGAATTACTGGTAGTATGCGGCGTGGTGGAGAGGAGTGCGTCCTCGCTTGTCGCGGTTGTTGACCTCCACCGGTTGGCCCAGGGACGCCAGAACGGACAGGGCCTGGAGAGCGTCCTCGTCACCGGGTTGGTCCTTGAGGAAGGCGTGGATGCACTGCTGCCGCATCCTGTCCCACTCCATCCACGCGTTCACGTCCTTCACATGCCACCACCACCATTTTATATCAACGATGTATCCAAACCTATATATACATAAATTTCTGTAACATATTTCTATATAGGAATAATGTGACTATGTGGATGTATAAAATGGAGAGATTAGCAGAACGTACCAAGTGACCGTCAGCGTGTTTGAAGAGCAGCCCGAAGGCCTTGGCCTGGCCGTGCAGCGCGGCCAAGGCTGCCGGGCTGATGTCGACCCGCATGCCCTCGTAGCGACTCGCGAGCCCGGGCCAGTCGGCCGCGATGTTACACGTCTGCCAGCTCAGCTCAGGTCGCCGCGCCAGGATCCGCTTCACCAGCGCCGTCCGGCCCGCCGCCACGCAGAACAGCAGCGGCGTCTTGCCGCGCACGTCGAGCATTTTGGAGTTGACGCCGGCCAATCGCTGGTACTCCTGCGCCTTGACACTGCACGTGGCGTGGTCGTCGACGAGCTCGTAGAGCTCGTTCTCCTGCTCGTAGTTGCGCCGAGGGGGCTTCTTGCCGGCGGCGAGTCGCTTCTGGATGAGTCGCGCGCGATCGCGGTCCTTCTCCTCTTTGTCGCTGCGCAGGATGGGACGGCGCAGCAGCCACTGAATCGGTTCGTCCAGGTTGGCGTCGGTGAGCAGCCTGTCGACGGCGTCCCACCGCTCGTAGACCAGGGCATAGCCCAGGGCCGTGTTGCCTGAGGCATCCCTCGCATTCGTGTCAACGCCCTTCTGTTTTTTGTTTTTTTTTGTTCCCCCACGAAACACACGACACACACATGACACACACACACACACACACATGACACACATATATGACAGACAGACACACGACACACACACGACACACGAAACAGGACCGGGTAAGATCGGTGTCGAGCCGGAGGAGAAGATGGATCCATACCTCAATGAAAGAGAGGGCAAGCGCGTCAAGGCCGTAACGGAGCGCAGCATGCAGGGCCGTCCTGCCGTCTACGCCAATCTAAGTTTAGATGGCTAAACGGAACGTACCACCGCACACGCACGCGCCACCGCACACAGTCGGAAAACACGACACAACGCGCGTACCGGGGTCCACAGCAAAGATGTCAGCGCCCGCGGCAAGCAGCTCGTCGATGATATCCTGCGACTTAGTGCAGGCAGACAACAACGGCACCTGCCCAGACTCGTCACGCGCGTTGGGATCGGCGCCGTGTTTGATCAGCGTCTTGATCACGGCCGCCGACCGGCTGCGCACCACGCTGAGGAGGACCACCGGCGTGCCATTGCTCGAGCGAGTCGCGTTGACATCGATCGGCGGATCGAACTTGTGGCCGTTGCGCAGCAGCTCGTCGATCCATTCTGGAAGAGCTTCGCCGCCGGCTTCGATGAGCTGGATCAGCGGGTCCTGGCTCGTGTTTGGCAGGAACTTCCACTCCTGCAAATCAAAACAAAACAAAACGAAACGAAACGAAAACCAAACAACGAACCATTTCACAAAACAAACCAAACACAACAAAACAAAACATTGGGGGAATGCCAGAGTCAGTAGGGAGTATGCTTGGAATTCACGGCAGAGCACGCTGGCACCTTGATCTTGTCGTCGAGCGTGAGCAGCTTCTGGAATAGGGGCAAGGCCCGGCTGTTCAAGAGATCGACCAAGAGCTGCGCCCAGTGGTTGGTCAAGTTGGTATAAGGCAGCAACGCCATGCCGAGCGCCATCTTGTCGGCATGGCTGAGCGCGGTGTTCCTCAGTACTAAGAGCAGCGGCGACACATCTGGGCGTGAGTCGAGCGCGCCTTCGTCATCATAGCTGCGTGGGTGGGGGACGTAACGTACTGGAGAAGAAGGTGTCGATCTTCGTGGCATCGGCGCCCCGCTCCAGCAAGAGCTGCGTCAAGGCAACCTGCGCGTGTTTGCAGGCCAGCCGGAGCGGCGTGTGCGATTCTCGGGTGACGAACCAGCCCGTATTCTGCCAGCTGACCTCTTTGTTGATGTCGGCTCCTGTCATTCCACGCAGCACCAGCAACACGTTCAGGTTAGACATTATTATTATTGTTGTTGTTAAAATTAATATTATTTTAATCATCATCATCATTAATATTATCATCAGCCTTATTCTCGTTCTTATTCTTCGTCTTCTTCATATCATCGCGCACGACCCACACGGCACACGACACACAGCGAGAGAGACCTTTATCGAGAAAGAAACGAACGGCGTCGAGATCGCCATGAACGCACGCCTGTGTTGTTGGGAATGAATGAGAGGTCGGTGGTGGCTGGTTGGCTGGTGGTGGGTGATCAGACGGACCTGCATGAGCGGGGTGTAGTGCTCGGCGGACTCTTGTTCGATGATCGGTGGCGTTTGGTTGGCGAAGAAGCTCAGCACCTTCTCAGCCATCGTCGCGTTGAACGACCCTAACAACGCACCACACGAGAACACGCCATGTGAGGGCTCTAACGCCGGCGGCGACACACACACGAGCACGATGGGCGGGTCAGGTACCGGTGATGGGCGGAGACCGTACGAGGGCATGCAGCGGCCGCAGCTCGAGGAAGGCGGCCTTTTGGGCGGCGTTGCCGTGCATCGCTTGGAAGGCCTGGTCAATGCTGGCGGCCTTCTTGATGCTCTCCAGCAGCTCCTTTGCCATCGATTCTGTTTTTCATAATTGTTTAGTTAATGATTTATTATTATTATTATTTTGAATCAAAAAATTGACAAAAAAGCGGAACTACAAAAAGAGAAATCGCTGGGATCATTTCAGATTAATTGGATTGTTAAACGTACCCGGGGGCGGACTCGCGGCTACCCCCGTGGTGGCCGAGGGCGGGAATGTGAACCCACTTGACGCAGGCGTTGCACCAAACATGACAAGGTCTCGGCTGCTCAACAAGTTTGAACGTAAAGTGCAACAGTTCGCCAAAAGGAACCAATTCGAGGAAAATAGAAAAGCTAAGGAAAAAATGAGAAATGAGGTGAAGAAATGGGAACAATGCCACGTGAACAATATTTTATAAAGATGTACAGCACGGCAGAGCGACGTAGAACGGTAAGGTCACCTTCTGAAAAAGAATGTATCGTTTGGCCTCTTTACACCACCATGCTCACCTTGCTTTTTTTTGCTTGTCTTCTACTCAGCATTCTGAGCCTTTATCTTCGAAGGCGGTGCAGACCTGCCACAAGGTGTGGCGGGGTTGCTTGCGACCACAGCCACGCCACGTGGTAGGGCTGGTGGTCGTGTGCGGCGCTGCACTCATGCTCCTACTCCTCTGGACCACCACCAACCTCCAGGTACCTTGCTGCCCTACATGGCCACACTTGTGCAGGCGCACGTGTGCGTCTCTTTTTTAACTCCTGGAGTGGTGCGTGTGCCGTAGGTGACGCATTCGTTGTGGTTCCCGCCGCAGCTCGTGGTCACGAGGCACACCATTCCCATCACAGGCCTGCCGCCCGCGCTGGTACCCACGCCCAGACCAGGAGAGAATTGAGCGCACAAATGCATGACACGCGCTGTGCCCTGTGTCAAGAGCTTGTGTGTTGTGGCGTTTGATTGCTTACATACTCGCAACGCAGGCCGACGCCAAGATTGCGGTGCTTTCGGACATACACTTCTCGTCACACTACACCCATATCTCCCAGGACTTTCTCGAGTCCGTCGTGTCCACGGTAGTTCTCTTGAACTCTTGTGTGTGTGTGTGTGTGTGTGTGTGTGTGTGTGTGTGTGTGTGCGTCGTGTGTGTAGTGTGTGATCTGACGTCAGGTCGCTCGCAGGTGAACAACCTGGAGCCCGCGCTGGTGCTCGTCGTGGGCGACGTGGTCAACAACGACCCCGGCTCCGCCGCCACCATCGGCCGTGTGCTCGCCCAGTTCAAGCCCTCCGCCGGTCCGCACGGAACGCTGGTCGTGCTCGGCAATCACGACGACCGCGCAATCGTGAAGACGCTGCGCGAGCTGGGGATGGAGGTGCTCGTGAACGAGGCCAAGTACCCGCTGGGCCAAGGGCTGGCCCTCGTGGGACTCGGCGACGTGTGGCTCGGCGACTTCCAACCACAGAGCGTGCTCGACGGCCTGCCTCCTTCTGAGCCACGCATCGTAAACGCCGGCCTAGCCTCTCGCTCCCCAGCCATTCATCCTCCACTCTCTAACTTCAGCACGCACACACGCACGCACACGCACCATCGCACACGCACATGCACGCAGGTGTTGAGCCACCACCCAGACACGGCCAACGCTCTGCGCAAGTGGCGCGTGGACCTCCAGGTACGTGGCAGGCAGCGTGTGGTGGTGGTTGACGATGTGAATGGGTCACACTCACCACCCAGGTTTTGGTCGTTTTGACGCCAAAAGGTGGCGGGCCACACGCACGCCACGCAGATCGCGCTTCCCTTCGTAGGCGCCGTGCTGCCGCTGCTCCACCGCATCAAGTCCCTCCTGCCCCAGTGGCTCCACGAAAAGGTGCACCTTGCAAGCAGGTTTATTATTCTATTCTTATTTTTTTGTTTTGTTTTGTTTTTTCATTTTTGCCCCGAATTATTCATTTACTTTGTGGCACGAACAGATCCCATACCTTGGCTATACGAACGTGATGGAGGACTGGGACCTGGTGTACGGTCTCCACGACGTGCAGCGTGAGGGCGTGGTGGAGGCCGATGGCGATCCCGCCAACCGTGTGCTGATCACCGCTGGCGTGGGCACCACCCCGCCATTCCGCCTCGGCATCCCGCCAGAAGTGGTGCTGCTCACCCTGGTGCCCAGATCCTGACTCTCTCCCAACAAGATGAAGCTGGCCACGTTAGCATCTTTCGTCGTCTTGTTGGTGGAAAGGCAGAGCCTCTGTTGGGCTGGTCGTCTTCTTCTTCTATGTCTGATGATCTTCTTCAAACTACTGGGTGGGCTTGTAGTAGTTGGTCGGGTGGAAGGGCATGGCCGCCACGGTCGCCGGGTAGAACTTCTTGCGCACCTGCACCTGGATGGGCGTCCCGTTCTTGGCCAGGGCGGTGGGCAGGTAGGTCATGCCCACGGCCTTCTTGAGCGAGGGGCCGTAGCCGCCGCTCGTCGCCTCGCCCAGCAGCTCGCCCTTCTCATCGTGCACCGTCGCATGAGCTGCGCGTGGTGGTCGGGTGGTGTCAGCAAGTGAACACTGAATCACTCAGTTGAGGGCCCAACGCACCTCTGGCGATGCCCTCGGCGAGGACGAAGCCGACGCGCTTGCGGGTGACGCCCTCCTTGATCTGCTTCAGGATGACGTCGGCACCGGGGAAGCCTCCCTCGGCTCTCCTGCGCTTGCCTGCACCGCCGGGTAGTGCGTCGTGGTCAGTGAAGTGACACACAACACACGACACACACACCACAGCGGAGCAATGGGTAGTACCGATGGTCCAGGCGAGGCCGGCTTCGATGGGGGTGGTCTCCTCGGTGATATCGTTGCCGTAGAGGCACAGGCCGGCCTCGAGGCGCAAGCTGTCGCGCGCGGCCAGTCCGACGGGCATCACCTTGCCCGTGTGCTGCAGCAGCGTTCGCCACAGCGTCACCGCATCGGACGTGGGCACCGAAATCTAATCCACAACGCAACCGTCATGCCCCCACTTGCTGATCAGTAACGGAGGTGTGTCACACGTTGACGTGTCATGTCGTGCCGCACCTCAAAGCCGTCCTCGCCGGTGTAGCCGCAGCGAGTAATGCGGACGGGGAGCGAATCGAAGCGGGTGTCGCGGCCCGACATGAAGGCCAGCCCGCGCAGAGACTCGGGGCCTCCCGCAATGTGCTCACCCACCACGGCCGCAGCCTCGGGTCCTACCAATCGACACCACACACGACACCACACACGACACACACACACACCAACGCGGTGTCAGCCGCGAACGCACACACGCAATGGCCGACGACGAGCCGACTGAAGAGATCGCCCGTGCCTTGGAGGGCGACGAGGGAGTAGTCGGGCGAGAGGATCTCGAGGTCGACCTCCTTGCCGCTGGCCTTGAAGCGGGCGAGGTGCTCCTGGATGTGGGCCAGATCCTTGTCCGCACAGCCGGCGTTGACCACCACGTACAGCCAGTCCGCGCCGTTCGTGATCACCGTGTCGTCCTAGCCACACAGCAAAAATGTGAATAATAAAAAAAGAATAATGTAAAAACAAAAAGACGTAATTCCCCGTTCGAAAAAGAGAAAACGTAGAACGCTCTTATGACTGTGCTGTGCGTGATCGCGACGAAGGAAGTGTTGGTGTTGATTGGATGGACAACGGTACCTTGATGCCGCCCTGCTCGTTGGTGAAGAGCGAGAGACGGGCGTTGTCCGTGGCGAGGCCCTTGATGTCGCCCACCACGAGGCTCTCCATGAACTCCACTCGGTCACGGCCGTGCAGCCTAGAGCGCGTAAAGACAGGCAAAGCGAAATGAGCGAAATAGAAAAAAATCAAGATTAAAATTGCCGAGATGAGCGTACTTGAGCTGGCCCATGTGCGACACGTCGAAGAGGCCGGCGTGGGTGCGCGTGTGAGTGTGAGTGTCGATGATGCTCTCCTTGTACTGGACCGGCATGTCCCAGCCGCAGAAGGGCACCATCCGGCCACCCAGAGCCACGTGATCCGCATGGAGGGCGGTGCGCTTGAGGGGCGCCGCATCGGTCGCCAAAAATGCGCGACGGGTCGTCGTCATCGAGTTCTGCGCGGCCCGAACACCACCACGTCTCATGCTCGCCATCGCCATCTTCACGCTCGTTCGATTGGAATGAAGGCACAGAAAATGATTGCATATTTGTCATATTTGGAGCCACTAATCCTCCCCAGAAATATCCGAGTTCCGTAAATAACTATAATAAACAAATATGACTTGGTTTTTTGCAGACCCACGAGCACGAGCACGGACGCAAGCATCGAAGAAGAGAACCACAATCCAAACTTGATGATGGAGGAAGCCAACGGGTCGGTCGGCATTGTGACGGAAGAGAACGAGGACAACGTCGTCGTTGCGGAAGATGGAAGCGAAGATGCCGAACATCTTCTCGCTGCGGCAGAGGGTGGAGACGCCGGCGGCGACAAGAAGGTGAAGAAAAAGAAAAAGAAGAGCGGAAGCATGAGAAAGGAGAGGGATGGATCGAAAAAGCCGAAGAAAAAGAAGGAGAGGTCAAAGAGCAAGGCGCCGGTTCCGTCGCTCGACCTTGAGATCAACGCTGACTCGGCCACCACAACCCCCTCGCACACCGACGCCGAAGATGATGATGAAGAAGATGACGATGATGCCTTCCTGCCCCGGCGCAGCATCTCGGTTGACGGTTAGCCCTCCCCTCTTTCCGTTCTTCGATCTTTTTGCGGGCCGCTTTCGTTCTTTGCACGTCGAACTAAAGGTGGGGGCGTGGGCCGACAGGCGAGGAAATCTTCACGGACGAGGACATACAGAACTACCCCTTTTCTGAACCAGGTACACCACACCACATCTATACAAACAAGAACACTACACCACACGCCACGCGACAAGGGGCTTTAATATTAATTTTCATTTGAACGTTCAAAACAAACGCGCGCGTTCGCTTCCTGCCGATTGGACCATTTATTATCTCCCCAATGGCATTCAACCTGACTGCTCCTTGCCCCCGGCATGTTACAGACGCCGACACCAACATCTTGTTTACCGGGGAGACGGCCAAAACTTCCCGGCCGGTCGTGAAGGCCGGCACCCTCGAGAAGCTCATCCAGCGCCTGACCTGGGAGGCCTATCCTGGTATACGACGCCTGGCCTTCTTCTTTCTATCATTTGGTTGGTTGGTTGCTCACTCACCCGAGTTATGTGTGATTGGAATGTGCGTACATTTGTACATGTTTACAGACCCGGTGTACATGAACGCGTTCCTGCTCACCTACCGGTCGTTCACGACGCCCCAGGAGTTGCTGCAGCTGCTCAAGCTGCGCTACAACGTGCCCCTTCCCACCCGCGCCACCTCCAGCGAACTCGAGCAGTTCATCAAGGCCCACCAGAACCCCATACGCCTCAGGTTTTGAAGCCTCATATTTTTTATTATTATTGTCTGCAATTGTGAGCTCACACCGCACACGCCGCACACGCACAGAGTGTTCAACGTTGCGAAGCGATGGCTGTCGGACCACTTCTACGACTTTGTGGAGGATCGCAACCTGGTGAACATTCTCAACGACTCCATCATCCGCACGATGTTGACCTCGCCCGATGTCTCCATGCAAAAGGCCGGCGAACAGCTGGCCTTGCTCCTCAAGCAGAAGGTCGACGGCATCAAGAAGGAGATGAAGATCCAGTTCAACAAGCCACCGCCGCCCTCCATTCTCCCGGCGGGCTTCAACCCCAACGGCGGCCGAGCGTCGGTCAAGTGGATGGACGTCGACCCGGTCGAGCTCGCGCGCCAGCTGACCCTGATCGAGTACTCGCTCTACCGGGCCATCAAGCCGCAGGAGTGCCTGGGCCAGGCCTGGACCAAGAAGACGTCGCGCGACGACAAGGCCAAGAACATCATGATGATGATCCAGCGCTTCAACCAGGTCTCCCACTGGGTCACCACCGAGGTGGTCAAGGTGGCCGACATGCGCGCCCGCGCCGCGGTCCTCGCGCGCTTCATCGACCTCGCCTCCGTACGTGTGCTCCGCTGCATTCATTCGCATTTTCTTTTCTTTTCTATTCTTTTCTATTCATTCTTGAGTTCCTGACCGGGATTTGGGCATGTACAGGCGTGCGAGAAGCTCAACAACTACAACGCCACCATGGAGATCCTCTCCGGCCTCCAGTGCTCGGCCATCTTCCGGCTCAAGCACACCTGGACCGTACGGCGACGCACACAACGACACCAACGACACACACACACACACACTCGAAGAGGAAACACACAGTGCTCTCCCTCTCCCTCTCCCTTCTCTCGCTAATCACATGATGATGTCCTCTACAGATGCTGAAGAAGGAGCACAAGAAGAAGTGGAAGGAGGTCACCGAGCTCCTGGCGCGCGAGCAGAACTTCCAGAAATTCCGGGAGCACCTGCACAGCGTCGACCCTCCCTGTACACTCGCCCCTCCTTCTTCCGTGAATGAGTGACGGACATGATCACCACACGCACACACACGCGCGCGCGCACACACGCACACGCACGCACACGCACACACACAATTGATGTTTTATGATTGTCGGCAGGTATTCCTTACCTGGGCGTGTACCTGACGGACCTGACGTTCATCGAGGACGGCAACAAGGACTTCATCAACGACTCGCTGATCAACTTTGACAAGCGGAGGAAGATCGCGCAGGTGATCATGGAGATCCAGCAGTACCAGGCCACCCCCTACTGCCTCGAGGAAGTGCCCGCCCTCCGCGACTTCCTCCTCAACCTCGAGACCTTCGACGAAAACGAGGCCTACTCCCACTCCCTCCAGGTAATAGCCGGTTACAACGCAGGCTCGCGTGCGACCATTTATTGTGGACTGGCATGTGACACATCGATGCATTTTAAGTTTGGTTGACACGTCACGTGCTGCACAGGTGGAGCCCAAGGGCATGGCGCCGCCCAGCAAGGCCATGGGAGCCTCGTGGAACGGGTTCAAGGCCAAGGCCCTCAAGAAGATCGAAAAGGTACAGCATCGTCGTCATCATCATCAACAATGACAAGATAGAATTTAAGAATTAATTGTCTGAGTGTCTGGGGGCTGCAGAGCAAGCAGGCGAAGGAGTCGGCCGGGCAGAAGGAAAAGGAGGACAAGCCCGATGAAGAAGAGGAGGAAGAGGAGGAGGACTGGGGCGAACTGGAGGTGCTCGACGACTACCCGTTCTCCACGCCCGACTCCAAGGACAACATCGTACTCGACGTCGGTGCGCACACTCATTCCTCTCATTCCTGACGCTTGCCTGCCTTCATGCTAGATCATGGAATGCACACATTCCTTACGTGACTTGTTTTTTTGTACCCATTCCACTTTATTAGACGTGTCGGCGATGATCGAAGGCGCCGTGCCCACCATCCGGACGGCCACGCTGGAGAAGCTCATCGAAAAGCTCACCAACGAGCGCTACTGCGGTGCGTTTACCTACTGGTGTCTGACCTCATTAACTTCGTCGCACTCACCTCGCGTGCGTCGTGTGTGTGTGTGGTGTGTCGTTTGCGAACACAGACCCGGCACTGGTGGACTCGTTCCTGCTGACGCACGGCATGTTCAGCACGAGCGACCAGGTGATGGCGCTCCTCAAGAAGCGATTCACGGTGCCGCTCCCGCGGGACACGGCCAACAAGGACCTGCAGGACCGCTACCACCAGTCGAAGGTCCTGCCCGTGCGGCTGCGCGTGTTCAACATGGCCAAGCACTGGGTCGACCGCTACAGCCACCGCTGCCTCGACGACGAGCGCTTCATGAAGGAGGTGGACGACCTCACCCACATCATGGCCGACTCTGGCATGGAGAAGATCGCCGCCACGCTCAAGCACTCCATCCAACGCCAGCGAGAGGGTACGCTGCAGCCCTGAAGCGATGTGTCGCCAGCTGCTCACACCGCACACGCACACGCACACGCACACGCACACGCACGACCTTCGGCGGAACAGGAGGCTACAGCTACGAGGCCGCGCGACGACAGACTCTCTCCGACCACTCGGCCACGGAGGCGAAAGTCGGCGCTGAGTACGTGTTCACGCACTACTGGCCATCAATGAGCTCAGCCCTTACATCTGCGTTGTGTGTTTTCCAGGGAGGGCGCTGGCTTGTCGTTCGTCCAGGACGTCGACCCGGAGGAGCTGGCCTGCCAGCTCACACTCACCGAGCAGCGCCTCTACAACGCCATCCGGCCTTACGAAGTCCTCGCGCACGTACTACTCCATCTGGCCGCAATCTTGGAATGCAAGGAATCCTCTCGCGAGCAGGCTGGTGACTTGTTTGAATTCCTCGACCCTAGGGATGCGTGAAGCGCGGGGAGGCGGGTCCGGCTAAGGCCGACACGCCGCAGTTCCACGCTCTGCTCGAGCACAACGAGCGCCTGTTCGGCATTGTGGTGGCGTCCATCGTCAGCCAGGTAACCTCACCTCAATCTGCCGGGTTGATGAGCCACGCGGAGGCGCTGGTTGGCTAACTGACTTATTATGTAACCAGGACACGACCGAGGCGGCGACCGCGGCGATCTCCAAGTGGGTGCGCGTGGCGGACAAGTGCTTGGCACACAACAACTTCAACGCGATCGTGCACATCACCAACGCCCTCCTGCATTCCGACGCGGCCAAGGTCATGTGGGCCGTACGTCAAGCACCACTTTCTCTACCACACAGGAGAATGCCGAGCATTTCTAATATGAAAGTGTCGACGTGTGAATGGTACCGCAGGGGTTGCCGTTCACGACCAAGGCCAAGGTGAACAAGATGAAGGACATGATCGACGCCGACAACCACTTCTCCAAGCTCCAGGACAAGCTCCACCGCAGCCAGCCGCCATGCATTCCTCACATCGGTAACGCTCCGTCGTCGCACCGTTCCCGATTGGCTGATGCGGTGATTATTATCAGACATGCATGTTTAATCGTTGGTTGGTGGCCACATCGATCTACGCAGGGGCGTTCGTGAATCTGATCGCGGAACATTTCGAGAAGCTGCCGGACAAGGTGCAGGGCCTGATCAACTTCGAGAAGTTCTCTCTCATTTCGGCCGAAGTCAGCGAATTCCAGCAATACCAGCCCATCCCCTACGCGTCGCTCCAGCCCTCCGGCACCGCCCAGCGCTGGTACCGCGACACGACACACGACACACGACACACGTGTCACCGCACACTAACCTGGCTACCTACCACGAACGCGCAGGCTGGCGTCGCAGCGCGTGCTGTCGCAGGAGGAGGTGACGATCCTGGCGGCCAAGCTGGGCACGAAGCGGCCGGCGTCCAAGACCATGCTCCTCACCAAGATCGAGCAGCGGCGCTCGCAGCACTCGGGTTCGCCCATCAACCTCGAGCGCTCCTCGTCCTTCTCCGGTGACTCCGCTTCGGTCGAAATCACCCAAGACGACCTAGGTAACGATACCAAACTCCGAACCGGTGTTGCATGGCAACTAATAGTTGGCGTGCAACAACTACAACAGGCGATGAGAACCGGGACGGAACGCTGGGCTCGTCGTCGTCGGGACTGGGCAGCAGTCCGTCGATGACCAAGAAGCTGAAGAAGGCCTTCAGCAGCAGCAAGCCGTCGACCATCTCCCGCACCTCCTCCGTCCGCACCTCACGCACCACCCCGCCCTCCCCCGCGCCCTTCATCCCCGCCAGCCCCCTCACCGCACGCGTACGCCCTCCATCTCCTATCATGTGTGCAATGTGTGCGTGTGCGGTCGTCAGCTGACAACAAACATGCAGGCGTCGGTCAAGTCGACCGGCTACAGTACGCCGCCGGTGTCGACGCCCGCGGGCGTGAAGGAGGAGTTCATGAAGCTCTTCAAGCAGGACGTCGAGTTCAGGCAGGCCGTGCTGGCCGAGATCGTGCAGTCGCAGGAGGTGCAGGACCTGCTGCGTACCGAGCGCGAGGAGGCCCAGCGCCACCTCCAGAGCGAGCTGAAGCAGTTCAAGGAGACCATCCTCTCCGAGATGATCTCCTCCTGCTGCACCCTCTTCCAACAACAGGTGCAGTTGCCCCCCCCCTGCCTCTACACGCAAACGTTCTTTGCTCATTCCAGAGCCATGCTCACTACTTCCACCATTCACCAGCCGGGCGCTGCGCTGGCCGCCAGTGGAAGCGCGTCAGTTGAGGACATGAAGACGGTTGAAGAGGCAGCGGTGGAGGAAAACGACAAGAAGGAGCAGGAGAAGGAGAAGGAGACTGAAGCGGCGGAGCCGAAGGAGGCGGCCGCGTTGGTCGAGAATGGGGAGGAGATGAAGCCCAAGCCCAAGCTCCACCTTCCCGACTTTGGTTAAGTCCGGGGCCGAGTAGTGGTGGGCACCGTCCTCCACATCCTCTCTCTCCTATGTACCATCAAGTGACTCCCTGTAGCACCACGCATTCGCAGCAACTTCATATTTCGTTCTTTTCTTTTTTCTCCTTTGTAAAAGGAAAAGAAAGAGGAAAAAAGAAAACGCTCTGTTGCAACAATCTTCGCAAGGGGAGAGCAAGGCAGCGAGCCATGTGGAAGGCATGTCGGGAGCAGGAGCGCAAGATCCAGGGCATCATGCACGACCACAAGAAGCGTGCTGAACGCAAGGCGGCTTACTTTGCCGAAAAGGTGTTGTCCCCCCTCTTCCCATCACCAACCCAGTTCCATCGTACCATGTCCTGATGATCAGCCGCTAAATGGCCGAATTCCATTCCAGTTCGGCGATCCGATGCGGGCGTTCAGTGTGGTGGGGCTGCCGGCGAGCGTCAACTACGACACGGCCCAGTACCGCCTCCTCGAAGCCGGCGACAGCCTGTACGCCCCCCCAAATACAAACCACGTCACACATACCAAGGCTGACCTGCGCTGTGTCGGGCGTCGGCGAACGACCAAAAAGGATGCCGTGGAAGGAGGGCTCGGACCTGCTGGTGGACCGGTCGGTACACATTTCGTTGAATTGACACGCACCGACACACGACACACGCACAACCGCACACGCACGCGCATCGTGGCTGAGAGGGTGGCGGGGAGGTCAAGCACGTGTGCTCACATGCCTCGCGTGCCACACATACATTGGGCGCCCAATCGGTGTGTGTGTGTGGTGTCGTGTTGCACTCAGGTTCGATGGGCGGGCGCTGATCGACATCATCCCGGCGGCGCCGACGGCGGCCGTGCGTGCGGCCATCGAGGAAACAGAGGAGGAGCGGGAGCTCGTTGACGCCCTCAACTACGAACGCTTCTACATGCTCGTCGAGAACACCCACGGCAGCGCGCCACGTACGCTCCTCCTCGCGTGTGCGCATGCGCGTGCGATGTGGCGTGTGCGTGTGCGGTTGTAGCTTACCAGTGTCGCTGTGGGGGGGGCAGGCACGGAGCACGAGGCGGTGGCCATGGTGGCGAGGCAGATCGACGAGAAGGCCAACTACCTCCTCCCCACCCAGAAGGAGTACAGCGACGACCGCAGCTTCTACGCCCGCGCGCCGCACGACCAGTCCCAGCAGTCCCAGCAGCAGCAGCAGCAGCAGCAGCGCGCCACCGACTACAGCAACGTGGGCCTCGACTACGGCGAGCAGGTCGTCACCCCCTCCGCCTCGGCTCACACCCCAGCGGCGCCGGCAACTGCGGCAGTGACGGCTCCGGCGGCGGCGGCCCCGGGGGCGGAGGGGTCGAGGGAGCCCCAGCAGCAGCAGCAGGCGACGGCGGGGGTGAGCCGGCGCGAGTGGCGGGAGCGGGAGGCGGAGCGGGAGAAGGAGCGGCGGGCGAGGGAGCGCGAGGAGCGACAGACTTGGAACGCCCTCGGGGCGCGCTTCGGCATCAGGGACTACTACAAGTTCCGCTCGCGCGACCTCCGCGACCAGCAGCGCGTCGAGAAGGAACACGAAGCCAAGAGCGAAGTCGTACACGTCCCCCCCCCCGACACCACACACGCACCACACACGACACGGCAGGCGCGAAAATATTGTTTTCTGACGAATGATCTTCTCCTTTTTTCTTTTCTTTTTTTTTCGATCGAAAAGAAACAACTTCCGCGGAAGGAGAGGCGGAGGCTCAAGTTCCAGCGGCTGCTCGAGAAGACCGACCCCCTGCGCGCCGGGGAGCAGCACCGACCCACGGCCGCCTACAGCCGCCGCCACTCGCCCACCTACGACGACTACCGCTCCGCCGACGGCGGTGGGTGGAGCCCGCGCCGCGGCATCTCCTCCGACAGCGACAGCGGCGAGGGCGAGGGCGACGAGGAGCGCAAGGAGTACATCACCGAATTCGCCCTCGACTCGTCTTCTTCGTCGTCGTCGTCCACCGCGGCCTTCATGCCGACCACTCCTCCCCGCGTCCTCTCGTACACCTCTCTCGCTTGTTACTCTCTGGACTGGCGGCTGACGTGTGTGTCGTGTGTCGTGTGTGTCGTGTTGCGTGTTGCGTGTCGTGTGCATCGTGTGGACGTGGGCAGGAAGCTGGAGGGGGACGTGGAGGAGCGGGAGGGGCAGCAGAAGAGGGAGGCCATCACGCCGGAGAAGAGCCTGGCCCTCACCCCGGCCGATCGCTGGCGCCTGGCCCAGGAGATCGACCTCAAGTACAACCACGGCGCCCCGTACGTCACCGCCCCCCACCCCCCATTTATATGTATTCGCTTTTCGCGTTTTGGGCATCATGCTGACACACAACACACACAACACACACAACACACACACACGACACGACACGACACACACACACTGCACACCATTCAGGGGCGAGAAGCGCGGGTTGGAAGAGCGGTCGCGCAGGGATTCGACGCAGGGCCGCGACAAAGGTTCGATTCGACGCTGGGCAGCTGCTGTGTTGTGTGAGCGCCGCTGTACATCTCACCACCGTCGTCGGCGTGGTCGTTGTTGTCGTCTGTGGGGTGTGTCGTGGTGGTGGTGGTGGTGCTCAGAGGAGGGGACGACACCCGCGAAACAGCAGACCACGCCGGCGAAGGAGGCCAAGTCGGCGGTTCCGAAGAAGGAGACGCCCCAGGATCGGCTCAAGCGGCTCATGCGCCAGAAGCTCAACAAGCAGAGTACGACACACACGCGCTCCTTCACCACACACCACATAACACGCACACTCGAATCGTTGGCTCACCCACACACCCGATCACACACAAACTAAAAATGATGATGATGATGGTCAATGGTCGGTTGGCCGCGCGCAGTCGAGCAGGACAAGGTGACGGAGGACCGTAAGAAGGAGGAGCGGGAGAAGGAGGAGCTGATGCGGGACCTCTACCGCAACCAGCCCGTCCGCCCTTCGTCCGCCCTCTCGTCGTCGTCGTCGCGCCGGGACTCGATGGGCAGCAGCGCCGGCAACAAGCGCTCCCGCTCGCCCTCCCGCTCCCGATCGCGGAGCCCCCCGCGCCGCGTGCGCAGCCGCCGCAGTCGCAGCCCGAGCCGCAGCAGATCACGCAGCCGTGGTCGCCGCCGTGATCGGAGCCCCAGGTCACGCAGCCGCAGCCGCGACAGAGAGAGGAGGCGCCGCTCGAGCTCGAGGAGTCGGTCGAGAGGACGAGGAGGAGGCGGCGGCCGCAGGAGGAGCCGTAGTACGTCCCCGAGCAGACGCTCGCGCAGCCGCAGCCGCAGCCGCGGTCGTCGCCAGCGCACACCCTCGCGCAGCCGCAGCCGGTCGCGGGGCCGTGGGCGGAGGAGCCGCTCGAGAAGTCCGGCCAGGCGCAGGCGCACTCCTCCCCGGCCCTAGCGCGGGAGGGTGCTGGTCTTGCTGCTGTGGCGTGTTCGAAAAAGATATGAACATAACTTTCATTGTTTGGCTTCCGCGATCTCCCCTTCTGGCTGCTTCTCCTCCTTTTCCATCTCCATCTCCATTTCCACCTCCACCTTCTTCTTCTCGCCTTCTTCTGTTTTCTCCTCTCCGGCGGGTTCCTGCTTGACATCACCCGACACTGAAGCGTCGGCGTCTGCAGGCTGCTGCTGCTGCTGGCCATTGGCCACATCGGCGGCGGCGGCGGTGCTCGGACTGGCCGCTGTCGGACCAGGCGCACCGGCGGCCGCGATTGGAGACGTCGGCTGCCCAGAGACCGCGACCGCGACCGGCGCGACGGCAGCGACGGCCGTGATCACGGCCGGTGGCGCCCCGGGGGAGCCCGATGCCGGGGGCACCACCCACGAGGTGAAACACACGGGGCACGCCACCGTCGAGCCCGCAGCCCGCGCCAGCTGTGCGTGGCGGCGGCGGCGATGGAAAAATTAGATCCAAGGTACGTACGTTGCAGTGTAACAATCGGACCTAAAAAGAAAAAGAGAGAGCTGCCGATTGGCGGGGAGACAGACATGTACCGGAGAGGTGGAGTGTGCGTTGAGGCTGAGGTGGGTGGAGCAGTAGCGGTGGAAGCACTGGGCGTGGAAGCAGTAGTTGCAGCTGTCCTTGCACGACACCAGCTCCTCCGCTTTGCCCGCCAGGGCCTCGTAGCAAATCCCGCTGGACAGCAATAGTAATATAATATGTATCTTATAATAGTATTATAAAATATTACGTATTATTTTATCTATCTTATAATAATAAGATAGATAGAACGGAGGCAAAGGAGGGCACAGTACCACTGAGAGCGGAGGTCCTGGTCCGCTGCCGAAGAAGACGACGACGACGACGAGGCCTTGCGGCGGGCGTAGGCCTGGGCGGGCGCGAGCGGTGCGCTCTTGTAGATGCCCTCCAGCTGCACGCTCCCCGCACTCCGATGAGTCCATACAAAAAACGGGGATTGTAGGTGGTCGTGGTGACAGGCGGCGGGCGGTGACTGGTGCGTTACCTCGGAGGTGAGGAGGGCGCGCTGGTAGAGTATGGGGTCCGAGGGGGACACCTTGAGCACCTTGAGCAGCACGAACAGGATGTGGATGCAGTGATGGCCCTGCACACGCGCCACCCATGGCCCATCAGGAGCTGTGTCGTGCGTGTCGTGTCGTGCGTGTCGTGTGTGTCGTGCGTGTCGTGCGTGTCGCGTGCGTGCGTGTCGTGTCGTGTGTCGCACGGACGGACGTGCCTTGGTGTTGTCGGGGCAGTTGCAGGAGGGCAGGTTGGTGAGCTTGATGGAGTAGACGGTGCCGGTGGGACCCACCACGTAGTACTCGGTGAGCACGTGGTCGGTGCTCTCGCCCTCGCCGGGGCCGGTGGAGGGCAGGAAGGCGGCCGTGGCCGCGTCCGGGATGCGGGGCAGGGGCGAGCGGAACAGCAGAAACATGCGGAGCTCCTGCGCCATCTCCATCCGCTCCAGCAATGCCTGTCGCCGCACACGACGCACATCAGTCTTTGTTGCAACGCGACACACACACAACACGGCACACGACACACACTCGACACGACACACGAGAGGTACTTTGGAGGGTGCGCTGCGGTAGCGGCTGAGGCGCTTCTCGGAGCGCGTGGGCGGCGAGCCCGGCGGGAGCGGGGCCGATGATCCGAGTGCGGGAGACGACGTGGCCGACGAAGAAGACGACGCCGCGGCCTTGGCCTTCTTCGAAGACGACGACGGCGATGAGGCGTCCCCCACGAGGGACTGCACGGGCAGGCTCCACGCCTCCCCGCTCACCTTCCGCTTCCGAAGCTGCCGCCCGCCGCTTCCATTGGCGCTACTTCCATTGCCGCCGCCTTCCCCCTCCTCCTCGATCGCCGACAGGATCGACGACAGCGAGAACTCGTGCTGCTGCTGCTGCTGCTGTTGGTGGTGGCTCTGGCCCCTGGTTCGGTACCGGCCCATCATCAGCACCATGATCGCCTGCGACAAAGAACGAAAGCGACGCAAGGGGGGGGGCATACGGAGTGGGCGAGAGGGGGGCGGCTGGGGCGGAGGGCGGAGGGGTGGGGCGGGCGGCGTAGCGGCGGTACTGCCCGACCAGCTGCCGGAGGAAGGCGGCGTGCTGCCTCCTCTCCCTCCGACTCTCGAGGCCCTTCCTCGTCCGCTGCTGCTGCTGCTGCTTGCTGTCTCCTTCCCCCTCTTCTTCATCTCCTCCTTCTTCTTCTTTGGTGTTGTCGTCATCTTCGTCGCTGCTCTCCATCTCTCGCCCCTTTCCATTTCCATCTCCATCTCCGACGGTGGCGGATTTGGTGGCGGCAGCGGCGGCGAGGCGCGTCCGGTGGCGACGCCACACGCGGCGCAGCTGGGCCACGAACTGGTCACGGTCCGCGGGCGAGTCGAAGGCGGCCACCCGCCCCAGCGAAAACAGGTCGAGGCCGATCAGCCCGCCCGGCACTTCGTCCTCGGCGTCCTCCTCTTCGTCTTCGTCCCTCTCCATGGCCTCTTCCTCCTCCTTTTGGAGGCGCCTCCTGAGCGCGTCGTAGTCCATGCTCGCTGATGATTACAAGTTTGATCTTCTTAGCGGCCGAGAGGGTGACCGTCGCTTTCTTTCTTTGATTCACTTTCTTTCTGAATTTATGTTGTTTTCTTTCTTTCTTTTGGAATTTTGTTCTTTTCCTCTTTTTTGAGATAAACGGCATTTTTCTACACGTGGTCACTTGTCTGAATCAGTCGAATCGAGGCCATCAAAGACGTCCTCGTCATCATCGTCGTCCTCGTCATCGTCGTCGTCATCATCATCAGCAGGCTGCCTCTTCTTGGCCTGGTGGCGTCCCTTCTTGCCCTTCGTCTTCTCCTCTTCGTCGTCGTCGCTTTCTTCGGTCTCGTCGTCTTCCTCTTCTTCTTCTTCGGTCTCATCGTCTTCCTCCTCCTCCTCCTCTTCCTCCTCTTCTCGTTGCGACTCTTTGGTGGCACGTCCCTTGGTGGCGGCCTGGCGCCTCGTTGTTGTTGGCTTCTTGGTGGCCTCCTTCTTGACTGCCGCCCTGCTGGCTGCTGACTTGACGAGCGGGAGCTTCCTGCCACGCGTCGTCGTAGTGGCGGTGGTCGCACCGGCCGCCCTCCTCGTCGTGCGCTGCTTGGTCGTGCGTGGCTCCTCTTTGACCTTGGCAGATGTCTTCGTGTTCTTCTTCATCGTCATCACCTTCTTCTTCTTCTTATCCACCTCTTCGTCGCCATCGTCATCGTCGCCGTTGTGCTCCTGATGGGCATCCTCATCCTGCTCTTCTTCGTCGTCCTGCTCTTCATCATCCTCGTCTTCCTCTTGTTTCATGTCGGCGGGGGCGGTCTCGGCGTCGTCTTGGTCGCCCGCATTCTTGGCGACGATCTCGGCGAGCTTCTTCTCCAGCTCTTCGGCCACCGCCCGCTGTTCGCCCTTGGCCCCAAACTTCCTCCCCTGGAATTCATCATGCCGACACGGCAGGTGAGCTGTTTTGCTTTCTCTCTAGAAAGAGCCCTTGGGGTGGAGATGGGGCGAATGAAGTGCGTGCCTTGCCGACAAGAACGAAGAAGTGGTCGAGCACCCCGGGGTTGATCAGGGCAGCCGAGTAGCACTTCTCCAGCTCGATTAGGCGGCGCAAGGCCTTCTCGCTGTAGTTCAGGAGCGTGAGGCAGTAGGCAATGTCCTCCTGTTCCTCCTCTGGTGGAGCCACGCATGCGCCACACACAGTGAGGCGCAATGCTCCAAGGTGGAGACATAGACATATGCGGAATGCGGAATGCGAGGAGCGACTTTGTACCTTTGGCCGTGCGGAGGCGATGGCAGAGCTTCTCCATGAGGCTCTCCGATTGCTTTTCCTGATGTGTGGATCGAACATAGAGAGAGAGAGAGAGTTTCGTGAGACCAACAAATGAGCGAAGGGAAAAGGTGTGTGGATGAGGGCGTACCCCTTACCTTTTCGATGAGGGAGAGGAGGTGCTTCATCACTCGCTTGAACATGTCTGAGTCCACGCTCTCGGCGGCGGAGAGGCGACTCAGTACGTCGGGGATGATGTTGTAGATCGCAGCGCCTGTGACCACAACGACATGGGAACGACCACAACAGGTTTTGAGTGACTGCGCACCGGGAAGGTGTGGTGGCGCCCACGCACCTTTCTGCGAGAGCTCGTGGAAGAAGAGCCGCGACATGCGAGCGATGGTCGCGTCCGCGTCGTGAACGCACAGCGCCAGGTCGGCGATGTAGGCCTTCACCTTAACCATGTCATTCAGGATCTGGTAGTCACGTGGAATGGGCCAGGTTCCAGATCAATATGAGTGCGGCGTTGAGCTTTGAATTGGGGGGAGGGGCGCACACGTACCAGATGTGTGAGGACCATGACCGCGTTCCGCCTCACCTTCATCGATTTGTCCTGTGCGTGTGCGACGGTGCATGAGCGCGTGCGTGGCGTGGTCGCGGGCGGGGATTGCTAGTGAGGTTGTTTCTCTGTAGGCATCCATTCGAGATGGGGTGGGGCGTACGGAGAGGGGGCGGTAGATGTGCTTGGTCCACGGCTCGAGCAGGTTGGGGAAGCGGAAGGCGAGGTCACCCACCGCCACGATGATGTTGGCCCGCAGGCGCTGGCTTCCCTCAAAGTGGTCCTCCCTTCTCCGCGACGACAGGAGCGAGAAGAGCAGCTGCAGGTTCTTCTCGCAAAACGACGACGACACGCACATGTACTTGCAAAGCGCCAGAATCGCACACTCCCGCACCAGGCCGCCCTGCTGCAAGGTCGTCGAGAGTCAGACGCATGCGGGCGACACACACGACACACGCGCGCTCAATGATGCACCGGGGGACTGCATACCGGTGTGGAGCTCGTGCAGATGTAGTGTATGAGCGGCTGGTAGGTTCCGAGAAGGTTGGCGGTCACCACTTCGTGCTCGATCAGGTGCTGGATATATTCGACGTCGCGTTCGTCATCACCGGCCATGCCCACGCCCAGCTCCAGCTCGATCGCCTCCTGACCCCCCTTGCGCGCTAGGGCGCCACAACACACGCACACCAACCGTTTTACCGATGAGGGGAGATCAGCTGAGATTAGCTGTGCTCGATCAGTCAGCCAAGCAAAGTGCGCTAGAGCTGGAGGGTCTGGCGTACAGCTGGGGCGCGAGGACGGACTCTGACGTCTCCGGTGGATTTCGGCCTGGGCCTGCTCCATGTGGATGAGCTGCTTGAGGGAGACGTGCCCGAGCACCAGAAGAAGGCGGCTCAACGCTTCGCCTGTGGTCTGGACCATTCCCGAATTGGCACCGCTCGAGCCAACATCATCAGCGTTGTCTCCGTCGTCGGCGTTGTCGTCCGAAGAGTCGAAAGCGAGCGCAGCAAGGCTCTTGATGACGCTGGCGCAGATCACGTCGGGCGCCTGTGCGAGAGCGTAGATGGTGTTGATCGCTTGTTCCGCCAGCCCGAGCCAATGGCCGATCCGGCGCGGCTTGCCAACGAGTAGCTCGAACAGCCGAGCAAACAGTGGATGGCCGGAGGGGAGCCGGTCAAAGGGCTTGCTCTCGCCCGCTTTGGCCTGTGGGTGGAGAAGGAATAACGTGTGGGAGCCAAGTGTTGTAACACCTCGTTGAGCAAGGGAAATCCGCAAGGTGAAAACAACAACGGAGGAGGAGGAGGAGCGGCGTGACGTACGGCCGGTTTAGCTGTGCTCTTTTCCTTGGAGGACTTGGCCTTGCCGGTCTGTGCCGGGGGAAGCTCCGCGGTTTGCCGCGCTCGGTGCAGCGTCCGGGCCTTCTGCAGCGCGATGCACGTGTAGTGCGCTAATCGCAGGTCATCCTAGTGGCGGGGGTTGGGAGGAATCCATGGACGTGAGATGGAGGCGACACAAAGCTCTCTACAGAAACAACGTCATCTCGGGTACCTTGGCACGAGCGCCCAGGCCGGTGCTCGAGAGCAGGTCGAAGTGCTCGCGTGCGATCTCAGGCGACGCAGTGGCGAGCATGCCCAGGATGATGATCGCCCCTCGGCTTTCGACTGCACTCACTTGCGGCACCTGGAGGTCTGGGCAGGGGCTTAGCTGTTGTCCACGTGGAACTGAAAAAACACGCACACGTCAGCGGGCAGTGCGAGGGCACGGTACCAAAGATGTCGAGCAGCGTCTGCACGACGGTGGGCGCGATGAGGCCCTGCTGCTTCATTTCACTCAGTAGCTGCTCTAGCGACGTGAGTTCGGCGAGGGTGGCGGATAGCGTGAGGCTGATGAGCTTGCAGGCGATGTAGAGGCCGGCGACGTTGCTTTTCGAGGTACGAGGAGCGGTGAGGTAGAGATCGCGGAAGGCGTCCCACAGGGCCTGCTTCACGCTCGCCTCCTTGCTCCACACGAGCTCGATCATCTTTCGCACCCCGACCTAACAGGCGTGGTGAAGGGCATGTGCCACGCAACGTAGTGTGAGCATGCGGCCGCGAAAAGCTATTTTGCAGAAGGGGATGGACCTGAGCTTCGTCGAGGGCGAACTGTTGGGCGCAGACGAAGAAGTGGATGGCCTCGACCACTTCGGACGAGTTCGGAGAGAGCAGCAGCTGGGCGATGAGCGGCACGCACCTCTTCAAGCCGAGAGCGAACTCGACGGCGTGCACCAAGTGACTCTTGGCTTCCGATGCGTTACCTCGTTTCCCTTCGGCGTCCCCTTCGGCACATTCTTCATCTTCTTGGTGTTGTTGTTCTTCGCTGTCGATGTGTGCGTCGGCGGGTGGCGCGTCGGCGTCGTGAAGCTGCTGCAGATACTTCTTCCGCATATCACGCGGCAGCTTCTTGAGGAGAGACGACAGTTGAAGCGAGGGCGAGAAGGGGTTGTGCTGCAGAAGCGACGTCAGCAGGCGTAGGGCGTTCTTGCGCACTTGCACGGCTTTGTCCCTTAGCCGCTCTCCCGCAAGGCCGACGGCTTTTGCCTGCAACTCGACGGGAATGGCCCTGTGCCTGCATTGGGAGGAGCGGCCAGCCATGCACCATCTTAAAACCAGCGTCGACAGCGTATGAGTGGGCGAATGAGCGCGACAACGTACTCGCACAGGTGAGCCCACGACTGGATAAGCTTGCTGCGCGTGTACGAGGATACGTCGTGGAACCGCATTTCCATGACGCCCCACAGAGCTTCCTTGGTGATCTCCTTCTGCGCTTCGTTGTCGTCGCCATGGTCTCGGCCTTCGTCATCTTCATCGTCATCGCCATCGAGAGAGTTTAACGCTGGTGGGACCGTGAGCGCGTCTCCGTCCTTGAATCCCAGGTGAAGAATTCTGCCGATCATGAGAACGATCCCGTTGCGCAAGGAGTAGGGCTGCGGGCATGAAAGAGAAAAGAAGGCTTAGCGAACACAAAGATCATGAAGTGAATGAAGATATTCTTCGTACCTCGGCCTCGAGGAGAGGGAGCAAGAGGTGGAGGTTGTGCTGCGCGTGAATGGGTTGCGTTTCCGCGATGCCACATAAGAGTGTCGCTATGTGTCGGGCTCCTTCCGTATTGTGCACCATGTCGGTGCTGCTCATCTCGGCCACTTCCCTGCGAGGTTTGAGCGGTGAGTTGAGACGCGCACATGTGCGTGTACGTACACCAACGAAAGTGCTACGCACTTGAACAGGGCGGTAACGATAGCGGGTTGTTGATAATCCAATGTCAGAGCGCCGATGAGCTCGACAGCATGAGGCCCGAAATGCTCGTATCTGACGGCGAGATGCAACAGCATGCTCGCCATTCGGGTCAGCTGATTGTAGCGACCGGCCAGCAGACCCACCAGCTTCCAGACGCAGGCTCGCACGGCAGCCGCCTTCAAATTGGCAGGGGCCTTGAAGGGAATGGGGGGGGGCTGCGTTTTAGCGACACTGTCACAGCGGAACGTTACGGACCGGCGGAGGAGGTACCTCGAGGATGGCGGCTGCGGCTTTGCTAAAGAGTTGAAGCCAGTCTTCTTCGGGCTCTCCGCTGTCCCACAAACCGCCCACTTCGCCTTCGAGGATCTGTACAAGTCCGCTCACCACCTTCTCCTTCGTGCTGGCGTCCCACGCTTCTTGCTTGCTTTCGCTGCTCGCCTTGGCGGTTTTCTTCCCCTTGATACAGAGAGCGGACAGACGAGTGCGCATGAGTGCACTGTAGTGCGCGACCGCAAAGGGAGAAAGGTGCTTACCCGCCCTTTGGCACCGCTGGCTTCCTGTTTGCTTCCCTTTTCTCCGATGGTAACGAGCCAGCTGAGCAGGAAGGAATACATCTTGAGGGCGTTACGATGTAGGGCGGCCTCATTGCTTCTCTTCCGCCGTTCTGGGGAGGGGTCAATGGTTTGAATAGAACGTGAAGCACTCAGCGTTGTGCACGTAAGAGGGTCGAAACGTACCACCGACAAGGGACAGCAAGTTAACAGCCTTGTCCACCAGCAGATCGCACAACTGGTCACGCGTGGCTGGCCCGAGCTCCGCGTATTGGCTGCAGTTGGCCGATGGTGATAAGTGCTTGCTTGGTAAGAGGTTTCAACGTTGTAGAGGGGGGAGGTCACCTCACAAGAAAGTAGAGCGTGTCAAAGGTAGTCTGCTCAGCAATTTTTGTGGGTGATTCCAGCTTTGTATCAATCTCGCGTAGCAGGCCTGTACGCTGCTTCTCCGACAGGGAAGAGATGGGTGGCGCATTTTCCTTTTCCACTTGGTATTGATCTAAATTCTCGCAGTTGAGGAGACCTTCTGGATGGATTGGCAGAAGGAAGTCCCGCATCTCGCTAAGATGGCCAGATCCCGTGCTGGAAGACCTCGTGCCCGACTGTGTTGCGTTCTCGTTGCAGTCTCCCGCCAAAACGACTACCAAAAGAATTCTACATTCGCATTTATTCTTAGCATTCTTTAGGGAAGGCGAGGGATCTGGTTCGCATTCCAAAGGTGTCGGCAATAATAGGCGGTTTCGGTTTTCTCTGCGTCGCGCATCGTCTTCCCTTCCTTCTCCTTTCTCCTCTTCCCCCCTGCACGATGGCTCTCGCTACCGCCACCGAGGTTAAGCTGTTCAACCGCTGGTACGTACCTCGTGATTAGGTGAATTGAAAAGAGAGTTTATGAATCTGCGTTATGTGCGATTCGTTGGTTACTGAATGTTGAACTGTTAATTCTCTACAGGACTTTCGATGATGTCACCGTCTCCGACATGTCGCTGACGGACTACATCGCCGTGAAGCAGAAGCCCAAGTACTACACATTCCTGCCCCACACGGCCGGCCGTTATGCCCAGAAGCGTTTCAGGAAGGCTCAGTGCCCCATCGTTGAGCGCATGACCAACTCGCTCATGATGCACGGAAGGAACAACGGCAAGAAGCTCCTCGCCGTCAAGATCATGAAGCACGCCTTCGAGATCATCCACCTCCTCACCGACGCCAACCCGCTCCAGATCCTCGTTGACGCCATCATCAACTCTGGCCCCCGCGAAGATTCCACCCGTATCGGTTCCGCTGGTACCGTGAGGAGGCAGGCCGTCGATGTGTCGCCTCTCCGCCGTGTCAACTTGGCCATCTACCTCCTGACCACTGGCGTACGTCCTGGCCATCTCAACCTCCCCTCTCAATTCGCGGTTAGATGGCTCATTTGCTGTATTTCGTGTAGGCTCGCGAGGCTGCCTTCAGGAACATCAAGACCATTGCTGAGTGCCTGGCTGATGAGCTCATCAACGCCGCCAAGGGTTCGTCCAACTCGTATGCCATCAAGAAGAAGGACGAGCTCGAGCGTGTCGCCAAGTCCAACCGTTAAGTCATGCGTGTTCATCTTGGGCTTCAGGAGTAAAGTTAAACGGCTTAGCAATAAAACCGCGGTGCATACATCAAACCCAAAGTGTTACATGAAACAAGAAGATGGACCCAGGCCACTTTCATCTGTTTTACTTTGCTCGAAGAACATGGCTGCACAGCAGCTGTTGTTGCACCGACCACGATACGTGCGGTTGTCTCTGAGTTTATTCTTCCAGCCATGTGGGCGTGGTAAGCTCGCAAGGTGGATAGCCACAACAACGCCGTCATCACGTGCCGAGTGGCTTTAGGGCGAGGGAAAGGTTCCAGCACTCCTCCTCGGTGAGAGGGTTGATGTTGAGGAGGAAGTCGCGGATGGCGGGCACCACCGCCAGGTTGTAGGGCGTCTGCTGGTACTGCTGGATCTGCTGGATCACCGCCGCCACCTTGTAGCACTATTTATGATGATACACGGCCATCATCACACACACCGCATTGATTGCGGGAGTGAGTAAGGTATGACATTAAAAAACAGAGGCTGTCGCCACAGACTTAGAGGCACTCGGACACAGGCACACACCGCACGCGCGTACCTTGGCAAAGTGGGTGTGTCCGTTGGGGAGGAGGATCTTGTTGCCGTCTTCGATGAAGACGAGGTCGGTCTGGAAGCAGCCCACGAAGGGTACGAGGGGCGGGTTGGCCTGCTTGAGCACCTTGCGGAAGGCCTTGTAATTGCCCGTCGGCTGCAGCATCTCCCGCAGCTCGCGTAGCACCGGATGATTCTCTTTCTGTGCAAGGTCACGGCCGTGAGGTCTCGCAATGAAATGGAATACGAAAAGAGAAAGCAAACACACAACACACAACACACACCACACAACAACCAAAGCCGAACCTTCTTGAAGGATTCGAGGCGCAGCACGGCAGCGGAACCCATGGCGGCGAGCACCTCGTTGACTCCGTTGAAGTTGTTCAGTTCGCGGAAGTACTATTGATTGAGGGGGGAGGGTAGATAGTAGAGAGAAAGAAAGGGGTCAGGGCTCCTGTCGCGCTGCGCTGTGAGAGATGCGGCGCGCGGGCGTACGTTGGCGACGTCGATCCACTTGGCGATGATGGCCTCTCGCTTGGAGGAGTTCTTGGCCTGCACGATCTGCGTCACGATCCATCGGACCACGAGGTTGAATCGGTGCACGAGGTTCATGATGTTGGGCGCCGTCGTGTAGCGGTCCTCCTTGGTCCACGCCCCCTCGCACAGCTCGCGCGGCCGGATCTTGCAGTACAGGTCGAAGTCGATCAACGTCATCTGTCGCGCCACCTCCAACGCCTGCCCACCAACCGACCAACCGACCACACGCGAATTAAGCCACCACGACACACGCGACACACGACACACGCGAGACATGCGACACACGTGACACACGCACACCATTGCGCAAGCTCATGCGCGTTGTGCTGAGGTGGCGCCGCTGTACCTTGATGTGGAGGACCTTGGTGATGGGGCCCTTGTTCTTGTTCCACAGGCTGCGCGGGGCGGGCGTGGTGAACACGAGCGTCTTGGACTTGGGCTGGTGCAGCTTGTCGATCGACGACAGCATGAACGACAGCAGGTTCTTCTCCAAAATGCTCCCCACGAAGTTCTTGTACTCGTTCATCAGCTCCTGCACCCACGACCCACGACACGCAGCATCCGGAGGTCAGTTGATGCGAGTGTGGAGCAGTGCTGTACGTGTGTGTGTGTGTGTGTGTGTGTGTGTCGTGTGTGTGTCTCGCGTAGTGGTGTGGTGCGGTGTAGTGTGAGGAAGTGGTGCGCGTGCCTCGTCGGCCTGGAATTCGTAGTAGCACTCCTCGGACCACTGCTTGAGGAAGTTGCAGATGCGGAGGATCTTCTTGCGGCTGTCGTCGTCGCCCTTCTCCTGCAGCTCCTCGAACCTGCGCCGACACACATCGGCGACACACAGGTGCGACAACGTTGACAGGAATGTAAGGAATGGGAGCTGTTGTTGGTTGTGGGTTGGGCCGTAGGACACGCACTTGCGCATGAGGATGGTGAGGAGCTCCTTGCCGGTCATGAAGGAGCGGTAGGTGAGCATGAACTTGGGCACGTAGGCCGGCACCGACGACGAGTTGAGCTCGCCGGGCGAGTAGAGGGTCTCCACCAGCTTCTCCTTCGTCCCGGACTTGACCTGCCGCCGGTTGGGCGTCAACACGATCCCGTCGCCCTCCACCTGTGCCGCACACACGCCGCCCTCCTAGAGTAAGCCCACGCACCACACACATACACACACAAAACAAACAATACACACGAACACACACTGACACACGACACACGACACATGACACACACGACACAAGCGCGCGCGGGGTGTGTGCACCCAGTCGAGCGAGACGGTGTCGAGGCGGGGGATGAAGGTGTGCGGCGCGGCGATGATCATCTTGGTGAGGAGGACGATGTGCTTGGCCTCGCGCTTGGACGGCGGGCGCCCGTTGGCGTTGGGATCGCGCAGGATGCAGGGTCCCACCACATTGCTGACCTCCTCGGCGTCGAAGGCGTTGTCCTTGGCCAGCTCGGGGCGGGCCAGGCGCTGGAAGAGCTGGAACAGGTACCGCAGCACCTGCACGTGCTCCTCCGGCAGCTTGGCCACCAGCCCGGCCAGCTCCGGGGCCTGCTGCTCCTCTGGCAGCTTGGGCACCCCCATGAAGCCCTGGAACAGCCCGTCCGCGCACAGCAGCGGCTCCGGCAGCTCCCGCAGGTACCTGTGCAGTACGTGTCGTTGGTCGTGTCGGGTCGTGTCGTGTTGGCCAATGATGATCGGTGATGAGCTGTGGAGCTGTGGATGGGAGGCGGGGCGCGTCGTACTCGAGGAGGAGGGCGGCGATGAGGTGCGGGTTGGTGCAGAGGAAGAGGTCGACGTCGCGTCCCTTGTTGAAGAGCTCCTTGAGCTGATCGACCTCCGACTGGGTGGCCGGCGTGAGGAACAGCTGCGGCAGTTTGATGTGCTGCATATGGACGAAGAGCCCCGACCGAGCCTCGGAGTGAGTTGATCTCTCAAACGTGTGCCATGTGTGGTGCGTGTGTTTCCATTCATTGGGGTGGTGGCCGTACCTGGTTGAGGTAGAGGATGCACTGTTCGGCGACGTAGGGGATGGGGTACTTGGTGTTGTTGCGCATGGTGTCGACCAGACTCTCCCCGAACACCTTGTGCGGCATCTTCTTCTTGCCCTCCACCACCTCGCCGTCCTACACCGTAGCGTAGAATGATTAATTCCTCATGCGAGACAAAGAAAAACAATACTTGTATGTGTGTGTGGTGTGTGTGTGCGTGTGCGTGTGTGTGTGGTGTGGTGTGTGGTGTGTGTGTGTGGTGTGTGGCGTGTGTGTGTGGTGTGTGTGTGTGTTGTCGCGAAAGGGGTGAGGTGGTAGGGTACATCTGCGTCGTCACGAGAGTCGGCGGCGTCTTCGGCGGCCTTGAAGATGCGTGCTTGGGTGCGCACCTCCTCGCAGAGCTGCTGGACGAGGTCGGGCTCGACGCACGGGTGGACCAGCACGGCCTGGTAGGCCGCGAGGAGCGCGTGGAGGGTGGGGAACACGTCGTCGTCGCCGTGGTGGTAGCCCAGCGAGGACTTGGTGATGAGTGCGTGCGTGATGTCCCCCGACGGGTCCACATACGCCGCTGAGAGGCAGTGCGCGTGCTGCGCGCTGAAGCGCACCAGGAAGGTGCCGGGCGGCAGGCCCGTGAGCAGGCCCACAGTCTCCGCGCCGCTGAGGTCGCCGAAGAACCAGGGCTCCCGGTTGACCGACGAGCTGAACGGCACCCGCAGCAGCTGCTGGTAGGCGCCCACGATCTCCTCCAGCTGCTTGAACTCCACGTACTGGTCGTTGTCGTCCTGCACCCACAACCACCGGTCACAGCCACCATCAGCCACCAGCGTGTGCGTGTGCGTGTGCGTGCTGCGTGCTGCGTGTGCACGAGATGTGCGGATGGAGCGCGCGTACCTTGAGTTTGAAGCCGTGGGGTTCGTTGGGGGTGATGGGGATCTGGAAGACCTTGTTGCGGGGCATGACGAAGCAGAGGGCGAACGTGCCCGGCAGCATCTCCCGCTGCCGGATGAGGAAGGTGCCCACGGGCTCCTGGCTGAGCAGCCGCACCGTGTCCTGGAACGATATGTACCCGTGGAACCACCTACATACGCGCCCAACGACCGACCGACCGACCGACCGACCGACCGACCGACCGACCGACCGACCGACCGACCGACCGACCGACCGACCAACAACAACCACAACGTGGATAAGACACGAAGGTGAGTGTACGGCGCGCATCAGCCACCAAGGCCGAGGGAGGCGACGTACGGCTGTTTGACGACCTCCACAAACTGCTCTCCGGCCCAGCGCCACATGCCAACGTCAGGAGTTAGCATTCCAACCGAGGGACGGACACCGCATTCCTCGCACGCACGCACGATGGAAAGGGGAGAATGCAGGCAACACGCACGTTGGTGGGGAGATCGGCAAAGGGTCCGAAGCCCTGCACGAACTGTCCAAACTGGTAGGCGCTCACGAACCCCGATCCTGAAAAGTCTGTTCTCCACACGCACGCACGCACGCACCACCCACACGTTGAACGCGTGAACTCATCAGCATCACCTCATCGGCATGCGCCGCCGCCATGGCGGCACCCATCAGGAGGCGGTGTGCGTACCGAGCACCTCCTGCAGTTGCTGGGAGTAGGCGGGCGGCCACGCGGGGAACTGCAGCTCCCACTGCTGTAGGAACTCGGCCCACCCCAGCATGAACTGCACAACGGTCAACCAGCCACCACCACCGCCGCCGCCGCCGCCGCCACCACCGCCGCCGCCGCCGCCGCCACCACCACCACCACCACCACCACCACCACCACCACCACCACCACCACCAGCCACCACCACGCAGAGAGACTTCCGTGTGAGACGAGCCAGCCACAGCTGCCGCTGCTACACACGTCGCATAATGCGATCACACGCGACACGACACGACACGACACACACACCACGATCAATGATGGGAGAGGAACACGTACGTGCGGGGTGGCGGCCTGCCAGAAGGCGCGCACGGCGGGATCGTGTAGGAGGCCGAGGTGGAGAGAGGGGAGGGTGGCGTCGGGGTCGGCCAGGAGGTGGAGGAGGTTGACGTAGCGGTGGTGGAGGTGGTTGTTGAGTTGCTGCAGCACGCGTCGTCGCCGCGGGTTGAAGGCGTGCTGGCCGAACAGCGGCGAGTCGCGGAAGGCCTTGACCAGCAGGTTGAACCGACCGGCCAGCGCCACCAGCTCGTCCAGCACCAGCTCCCCCTCTTCGCCCAGCACCGCCTGCAGGCTGGGCTGCGAAACCGCCCCCTCGGCCCCGCCGCTACTACTCGCCGCTACGCTGGCGGTCGAAGTCGCCGTACTTCCACTACTACTACTCGCGCTACTCGCGCCGACCGTGGGGGAGGGGGTGAGCGAGGGGGGCGTAGAGGGGATAGACGAAGGGGAAGAGGAGAGCGACGAGGGAGTAGAGGCCGCGGATGTGGTGGTGGCTGGGGTGGTGAGGAGGCGCGGGGGCGGGTGGGAGAGGAGGAGGCGGTGGGTCATGAGCCATTCGGCCACGCCGTAGCGGCGCGAGGGGAGAACGGCCAGGGTCTCCACGGTGTCGGCCACGGTGGCCATGAGGCGCTGTGCGCGCTTCTCGGGTCCCTCCCGTTCGGCCTTGGACTTCTCCATGTACACGAACCGCTCCATTTCTTCTTCTTCTTCTCTTTGCTTTCCGCCTCCTTCTGTTCTGGGTGGTTGGAAGGAGCCAAGATGATGGCTCCTCGGAAGTGTATGCGGTCTCGTTCCAAATGTTGTACAATCGCTGATCTCGTTTGGGGGGGGTTGACCGAATTAGAGCCATATTTTCCTTGTCCATTTCCTTTTGGCTTTCTCTTCAGTTCAACCTGCACTGTAACGGTTGTCGCGATCACCCAAACAACAAGTTTATGCACAAGCTGTTGCAAGTGGGAGAGGCCACACCACCGCGTTCTCACACTTTCGTCGTTTTGTGGCCACATCTCCACACCTCAGCCACACCGCAACGACGACGACGATATATTATTAAGAATAATGGAGCCGTCTCGAAGCGGCGCCCTCTCCCCGCGGGGCCGCAGTAGCAGCAGCACTAGCGGAGGAGGAGGGGCCAGCCTGCTGCCGCTGCATCGGGAGGGGTGGGCCGCGACGTGCGCCGCCGGCGTCGTCGTGCGACCGCGCGACGGAAGCGGTGGGGCTCTCCTCTTCTCCACCTCCGCCGTGGAGACCACCACCGCCGGCGGCAGTGGCGGCAACAGCGGCAGCACCGGACCGGTGGTGGTGCGGCAGCTGGCGGCCGGAGCCGACGCGAGCGAGCTCCTCTCCGGGGCGGCCTCCGCGTCCGTCGGGTCCTCCGTCGACAAGGACCACCACCACCACCACCAGCAGCAGGGGGTGCGCACGTACGGATGCCTCGGTGTCGTCGGGCTTCCACAAGGTACCTCCACCTCCACCTCCACCCACCTTGCTATTTTTGTTTTTAACATAAATTAATGCCCACATAATAATCAAATATAAATAAATAATATAATAAATTGTGTGCTCGAACATGGCCACCCATTCACTGGTGCACGCCACGCCACACGCGTAGGGGGAGGGCCGCACGTGGTGGTGGTGACAGAGCGAGCGGTGGTGGGCACGGTGGAGGGCCGCGCCGTCTACCGCCTCGTCAAGGTACGTCGTATCCCCCCCCCCCGGCCCAATGCACGCCACGCGCAATCCGCCTCCATGAGACCTCCGTGCTCCCCGACAGCTCACGCTCGCGTGCCATGCACAATTCGTGTGTGTGTGTGTGTGTGTGTCGGTGTCGTGTCGTGTCGTGTCGTGTCGTGTCGTGTGTGTCGTGTCGTGTCGTGTCGTGTCGTGTCGTGTCGTGTCGTGTCGTGTCGTGTCGTGTCGTATGATGCACCATCCAGGTGGCGCTGCTGCCCGTGGGCGGCGGTGGTGGGTCAGGAGGCGAGCGCAAGGGACGGGAGGAGAAGCTGTCGGAGGAGGCGGCCGCGTACCGCAAGGCCGTGAAGCAGCTCCTGCAGGACGGCGGCTTCTACTTCAGCTACGACTACGACCTCACCAACTCGTGCGTGCCCCCACCCCCACTTCATCGAAGGCCCGGCTGACAGTGTGCGTGTGGCGCCACACGACACGACACGACACACACACACACACATACACACAACACCGGCGGCGCAGGCTGCAGCGAAAGGCGCAGGGGACAGCGGGGCGTGGGCGGGGGCTGTGGGAGCAGGCCGACACGCGGTTCTTCTGGAACCACGACATGCAGCAGCCGCTCATCGCCGCCCGCGCCCACGCCTGGGTCCTGCCCCTCATTCGCGGCTGCGTGCAGGTGTTCCTCTTCATCGTCGGCGATCACAGCTTCGACTTTGTTCTCATCTCCCGCCGATCCCGATTTCGCGCCGGCACCCGCTATCGCACACGCGGCGTCGACGATGTACGGCCACCCCCCCATTAACTCCGTCCCACCTATCACACCGCCCAATGGGAGGTGAGCTGACGTGGTTGGTGGGTGGGGTGGGCGGGCGCGTGCAGGAGGGGCGGGTGGCCAACTTTGTGGAGACGGAGCAGTTGCTGGCGGGGGCGGCCGGCACGCACGCGGCGTCGTTCGTGCAGGTGCGGGGCTCCATCCCGCTCTACTGGGAGCAGCGGGGCTACCGCTACCGCCCCAAGATCCGCCTCTCCGACCACACCTCCCAAATGGTGCATTGCCCCCCCCCTCGCGCATCGATTCTCGGGAGTCGCTATTGACGCACGCACGCACGCACCACCGCACGCACGCACCACCGCACATTGCACCGTCGATGCACCTGGCTGCAGGCCAAGGCGTTCATCCTACATTTCGAGGAGCAGCTCACCTTCTACCAGTCGCAGCTCATCATCAACCTGCTGGACCAGAAAGGTGCCGCCCTCCATTCCCCTCCAATCTCTTTTGTGCATGCCTTCCGCTGAGCACGTCTTCTTCTTCTGCTGCTTCTTCTTCTTCTTCTCGCTTACACTGGCGATGGCGGTCACCACGACAGGTGCGGAGATGGAACTATCGGAGGCCTACGCCGGATACCTGCGACACATCAAGAGCCCCAAGATCAAGTACTCCCCCCCTCATTTCCCCCGTCGCCACTACCGCCCCCCAATGCACACCGTGCCTGCTTACCGAATGCGGCGGCGGCTAATATAATTATTTAATATATAATAATACGGCAGGTACGTGGGGTTCGACTTCCACGACGTGTGCAAGGGCGACAATTTTGAGGCCGTGAGCAAGCTCATCGACCTGGTCGACGCCGACCTCAAATCCATCGGGTTCGAGCCACCAACGCACCACCACCACGCACCACCAACGCACCACCACGCAGCACGTGCACCACCAGCCACCACGACCACCACGATTACGACCACCCGCACGCAGCACCGCACCACCGCACCACCGCCCAGCGCACGTGCACGTGCGCCTGCACTAGCCTTCCCCACCCTCCATACTTGACTTGGCGGGCGGCGGCGGCGGCGGCGGCAGCAGCAGATGGTCGCTGACTCGCCGGCGGGGGGTTCGCCCCCCCCAAAATAGGTACTTTGTGGCGGACCGGGCGGGGCGGGGGGTCTCGTGGCAGACGGGCACGCCCCGCGTGAACTGCCTGGACTGCCTGGACCGGACCAACCTGGTCATGAGCGAGCTCGCCCAGCGCGTGCTCACCCGCCAGATGGAGGCCTTTGGCGTGGGCAGCGCCTGGGCCTCCTCCCGCCAGATCGTCGAGCGCCTCTTCAAGGAGGTCCAACACCACATCTTACCACCAGCCACCTTGCTTGGGGGTGGGTGGGTGGGTGGGTGGTCGGGCACCAGGCTGACGACGTGCGTGCGTGGGATGTGTCGGGTGTGTGGCAGGCGTGGGCGAACAACGGAGATGCGGTGAGCCAGCAGTATGCCGGCACGTGCGCACTCAAGGGCGACTTCACCCGCACCGGGCGACGACGGATGCGAGGTACGGGACCACACCACCCGGCGGCCATCGGCTCTTGTTATTGGCGGCGGCGGCGGCGTTGATTCCCCACCTGTTCTTTCGCCCTACCCCCCCCCATCGGCCCCGTTGCAGGCAAACTGAACGACGGCGTCAATTCCATGACGCGCTACGTCATCAACAACTTCTACGACGGTCTGCGCCAGGTGCTCGCCCACCCACGCCCACCCACCCACTCCCCTCCTTTTCACTTGCACAGCGGCAGCACATATGCCGACCGAGCGAGTCACTCATCTCGTGTTGTGTGCGTGTGTCATGCGTG